GAGGGAGGTGCTGAGCATGCGCGCGCGTCTGTTATACAGCTGTGTATGCACCTGTAATGTTCCTGTAAGCAGATGTCCTCCCCTAGACTTCATTATGCCTAGAAAAATCTTTAAATTGAAAATAGGCCAGGTGTGGTGCACGCCTCTAATCCCAGCTGCTTGGAGGCTGAGACAGGAAGATCACAAGTTCAAGCCTGGCTTGGGCACCTTAGCAAGACCATATCTCAAAATTTTAAAAAAAAGGAGGCAGGAGACTGGGGATGCAGTCATTGGTAGAGTTCCCCTTGGCTCAATCCCTACCACCACAAAAAGAGTAAAAATAAAGTTGAGGGTGCATACCTTAGCCAGGTGCTTTCTTCCCTTTCAGTGAGGTCTGAGTTGGCTCGGGCGGCCCTGCCCACATCCCTGTGCCATGCAAGGTGGGCCTCGGAAGAGGTGCGACGTGGGGGCAGCTGCAGACAACACCTCTTAGACCTCACTGTCACACGGACCGCAGTAAGGAAACCTCGAAGCAGGAGGCCCTCAGGAACAGAGCATGTTGGGAGGAGCAGGTGCCCAGCCCTGCAGCTGAAGTGCGCTCATGGGCTGCGGGGAGCTGTCCGGCTCCCCTCCACGTCCCTGTCACACGTGGAGAAAACGAGTGCTCCCCAGAGGCTTCCAAGCCTTTGCACTCCTCAGAGCAGGTGCACCCAGCACGGCCCACCATGCTCGCTCCCTCGAGCTTCCCTTAGCAACGGAGTTGGTGTGAGCCAGTGGCTCCCAGGAAAGACCTTGCAGCAGCCCAGATGGGCCTGCAGCTTTGTCTTGGGCCATGACCATCAGCTCAAAAGGCGAAGCTGTACCATCAGCATCTCCTGCTGTGGCCCCAGCCAGCCCACAGCAGTGTCCTCCAGGTGAGCCGAGGGCACAGCTACGGTCTGGTCCCCCGGAGCTGGGAGGGCACACCTAGGGACCAGAAATGGAACCACATGTGCTTAGGAGCAAGAAGTCCTCACTCCCAGGACAGAGAAGGTCCCTGGAGAAGGAGCGGCTGGGGCAGGAGGAACAAGCGAGGGAGATCCTGCTGGGTGGCCACACTGTGTCACCCACTCCTGTCCCCAGGGTGTGAGCCACAGCAGGTGGCTCAGGCTCACACATGGGAGGGGACACACCGGTTCAGTTGCTCCTTTTCAAGTTCAAGCCTGGCTTGGGCACCTTAGCAAGACCATATCTCAAAATTTTAAAAAAAAGGAGGCAGGAGACTGGGGATGCAGTCATTGGTAGAGTTCCCCTTGGCTCAATCCCTACCACCACAAAAAGAGTAAAAATAAAGTTGAGGGTGCATACCTTAGCCAGGTGCTTTCTTCCCTTTCAGTGAGGTCTGAGTTGGCTCGGGCGGCCCTGCCCACATCCCTGTGCCATGCAAGGTGGGCCTCGGAAGAGGTGCGACGTGGGGGCAGCTGCAGACAACACCTCTTAGACCTCACTGTCACACGGACCGCAGTAAGGAAACCTCGAAGCAGGAGGCCCTCAGGAACAGAGCATGTTGGGAGGAGCAGGTGCCCAGCCCTGCAGCTGAAGTGCGCTCATGGGCTGCGGGGAGCTGTCCGGCTCCCCTCCACGTCCCTGTCACACGTGGAGAAAACGAGTGCTCCCCAGAGGCTTCCAAGCCTTTGCACTCCTCAGAGCAGGTGCACCCAGCACGGCCCACCATGCTCGCTCCCTCGAGCTTCCCTTAGCAACGGAGTTGGTGTGAGCCAGTGGCTCCCAGGAAAGACCTTGCAGCAGCCCAGATGGGCCTGCAGCTTTGTCTTGGGCCATGACCATCAGCTCAAAAGGCGAAGCTGTACCATCAGCATCTCCTGCTGTGGCCCCAGCCAGCCCACAGCAGTGTCCTCCAGGTGAGCCGAGGGCACAGCTACGGTCTGGTCCCCCGGAGCTGGGAGGGCACACCTAGGGACCAGAAATGGAACCACATGTGCTTAGGAGCAAGAAGTCCTCACTCCCAGGACAGAGAAGGTCCCTGGAGAAGGAGCGGCTGGGGCAGGAGGAACAAGCGAGGGAGATCCTGCTGGGTGGCCACACTGTGTCACCCACTCCTGTCCCCAGGGTGTGAGCCACAGCAGGTGGCTCAGGCTCACACATGGGAGGGGACACACCGGTTCAGTTGCTCCTTTGGGGCTCAGTCCGGACTGCTTGCAGTTTTTCCTGTGTAATGTTCTATATTTTCTGTCAATGATCACGTTAGTCTGTAACCAGAAAATATTTTAAGAAAACAAAATGAGTGAACTCATAAAACATCATGTTTTTTATCAACACATCTGCATTGAATGCAGACTTATAATTCTGTAATATATAGATAGGTTCATAGATTTTTTTTCCCCATTAAAAATATCCTGTCTAGGTAGAACTAGCTTGCCTTTTTTAAGAAACTATGGAAATAAAGAGAGGAGACCACACAGCTCTGGGTCAGCTGGCAGTCAGTGTATGTGCAGTGTTTCCAGTAACACCTTTATTGAGATGTGTAAAATTCACCCTTGTAAATATGCAAGTTGGTGCTTTTAGTGTGCTCACAAATTGTGCAACCACCATTGCTCTCATCCAAGCCCTTCTGTCAGCCCCAAAAGAAACTTCGTTCTTTTAACAGTCACTCCACCTCCTGGCCCCTGGCAAACACTAATCCACTTCCTGTCCCTGGAGTTGTCTGTCCTGGACTTTTCACATAAACAGGGTTATGCAGCATGCAGCCTACCCTGACTGGCTTCTTTAAAAATTGAATGGTCTCTCTTCAGTGTTGAGCTGTAAATATATTGTACGTGTTTGGCATACTAGGTCCCTGTGAGATGTGTGATTTGTAAGTATGTTCTTCCTTTGGGTTGTTTTGTTCGGTTTTGTGTTTTTGATTTCTCAGTGGTATCTTTTGAAACACAGAATTTAAGTTTTGATTAAGTCCAGTTTGTGTCTATTATCTGTACAATAGTTGCTGCTGCTTTTGGTGTCGGTCTAAGAAGCCTTTGCCTAACCCAAGTTCATGACAGTTTATGTCTGTGTTTTGTCCTAAGAATGTTACAGTTTGAGCTCCTGTATTCAGGCCTTTGGTCCATTATGAGTTCATTTTTGTATGACTTTATGCTTCGTGTTGTTCAGCATCATTTGTTGAAAAGACTTCCTTTCTTCCACTGTATTTTCTAGGTGTCCTGGTCAAAGGTGAGTTTTCATAAATGTCTGGCTATTTCTTCAGGCTCTCGGCTCTGATTCTTTCCATGCCGCAACCATCCTGATGACACTGCCGTGCAGTCGGATGCTTGGAGCTCATTTTTAGAAACAGGAAGTGTGACTCCTCCAACTTGGGTCTTTCAAGATGGCTTTGGCTATCTGAGGTCCTTTGCATTTCCCTTAGAGTGCTGGGATCATTTTTACCATTTTCTGCCCCCAGAAAAGCAGCTGGGATTTTGACAGGATTATCCTGAACCTATGGATCAATCTGGTAGTACCTTTTCTTGAATACCGAGTCATCTAGTAAGACTTTCACTCTTGAATTTATCCCTAAGTATTTTGCATACTGTTGTAACTTTAGGTGTTTTCTTAATTCTATTTTGGATGCTTTTTCCAGTTGAGTTGTGTATATGGATCTTCATCGCACAGTTTTGCTGAACACTTGTTATCCTGAACCTATGGATCAATCTGGTAGTACCTTTTCTTGAATACCGAGTCATCTAGTAAGACTTTCACTCTTGAATTTATCCCTAAGTATTTTGCATACTGTTGTAACTTTAGGTGTTTTCTTAATTCTATTTTGGATGCTTTTTCCAGTTGAGTTGTGTATATGGATCTTCATCGCACAGTTTTGCTGAACACTTGTATTAGCCAGATTGTGTATGCAGTGTGTGTGTGTGTGTGTGTGTGTGTGTGTGTGTGTGTGTGTGTGTGTGTGTACACATGCTCACCGGCTCACACGCACATGTGTCTAGGTTTCCTGCTTGGGGAGTGACGTTTCCTGCAGACAGAGGTGTTTCACCTCATCCTTTCCAAGCTGAGTCATGTTTCTTTCTTTTTCTTAGCCAATTTCTCTGTCCTGAAAGTTCATTAAGAGATTGAATAGAGGTGCCATTGGGCCCCTCTTTGTCTCATCGTAACTAGGGGCGGCTTCCAGTAGCTCCCCGCTCTGAGCTAACAGTGCGGTATTGGTATTGTGCCCTCTGTCGGGTGAAAGGTGCACCTGTTCCTAGGCTGTGGTTTTGCCGAGTGCTGGACTGTGTCAAGCACCTTTTCTATGTCTGTTCAGGTAATTAATTTTTGTCCTTTATTCTATCAGTGTGATATATCACAGTGCTTGCTTTTTATATAATAACCCACTTTTCCTGGAGTAAATCCCTGTAGACCTGGCCTGTAATCCTCTTTGTGATGACTCAGTTTGCTAGTATTTGCCACAGACTTTGGCTTCTGTACTTGTAAAGGACACTGGTGTGGCATTTTCTCATGCTATTTTGGCTTGGTTTTCAGATCAAGGTAATGCTGGCTTCAAGGAAGAGTTAGGGCGTGTTCACACGCTTCTGTTTTTTGAAAGAGTTTCTGAAGAATGGTGTCAGTGCTATAAGCATTTGGCAGAGTTCACCGGGGAAGCTGTGTAGCCTCTTTCAGCCTATTACTTGCTAGACATAGTTCATTTTTTTTCTTTTGAGTCTTTCTGGTGGTTTGTGTCTCTCTAGGAATCTGACCGTAGTTCCCCTGCGGCTGCCTGCAGCTCCCTGCTGCTTCGGCCTCGTGTGGTTCTTACACCAGGCCGTGTGCCCATCAGAGGCAGAGGGACCCAGTCCCCTTCAGCGAGGGGCACAGCCTGGGTGGGGACCTGGGGGCCCCGGGCCACCACCGGCTCCCACCCTACCCGCCCCCACCAGCCTCAGGGCCAGGCCAGCTGCTCAGGATGCCACTTCAGGGTGCCTTGACGAGGCTTACTGGCAGGGACAGAAACGCTTCCCGAACGACTGTCCTGCTGACCCTGCCACGCCCACTACCTACAGGTGTTCACCTCGCACGGCCCCACCGTGATCATGCCCACCTGGTTCTGCTCCCGAGCCTGGTTCTCCCACGTTGGCCTGTTTGACCAAGGCGGGCAGGTGAGTGCCACGAGGGGTGTCGCCCCAGTTCCTCCCGCTCTGCCTGCCGCCCCTGTGCCTGCAGAGGCTCCAGCTGCCTCCGGTTAGGAGCTGTTTTTGGGAATGCGCAGTGACCTCAGCCCAGCTTAAAGCCTGCTGGTTGCAGCAAGCACAGGACCTGGAAGGTGCTGCCCGGGCGCCTCTGGGGCAGCTGAGGAAGACGAGGAAGCCCTGTTTCCCTCGAGGGTCCCAGTGTCCCCCTGGCATCTCTGCCTGCCATGGGGAGGAGGACCCTGGGTTGGATGGCACCCACAGGGAGCCAGGCCTCTGCCTGGACGGTGATGACAGCCAGTCCTGCGCCCAAGGGCCTCACATGGCCACCAGAGCCGAGGACCGGCTCCAGCCCTTCCAGCATGTGGTTCAGGTTTCCATCCCCATCCCGAACAGGAGGGCGACTGAGCCCAGAGGGCTCACATGGGGCCTTCGCTGCACAGCGTGGGGAGAGTGGAGCTTCCACCCGAGGGAGGACCCTGCTTTCCGTGACAAGCCAAGAGTCCTCAGCAGAGGCCCTGGCCTGGTCATTTGGTTGGCGCTCCTGACTCGATGTCTCCCCCTACTGTCGCCTTGAGGCAGTGCAGCCTCATCCTGAGGCTATATTGTTTCCGTGTCCCAACCTCCTGGGCCCTGACCACCAGGTGCCCGCCTGACTCTTGCCCACAGCCCTCATGCCTGCTCTTGTCCTCAGGCACCATGGCAGCCAGCTCCACCCCCTGGGCCTGACCTAGGTCCGTGTCCCCGCTGCTGGCCTTCTCGGAGCGTGCTCTGCCCTCAGCCTCAGTGCCATGGAACCTCCACAGCAGAAGCCCTTGTGTGGCCGGGTTCACACCGCCCCCAGCAGCAGCTTCTTTCCTTGTGCAGGGTGTGCCAGAGGATCTGCTGTTCTTCTATGAGCACCTCAGGAAGGGCGGCAGGGTTGTGCGGGTGGACCAGAGCCTGCTGGTCTACCGCTACCATCTGCATGCAGCCACACACTCTGTCCTCGAGTAAGTGGGCTGGTCGGGCGGGGAGCACCTGCGGGCGCCCTGGAAGGCGCGGGGCACAGGGTGGGCTGGAGTGGGTGTGCAGACGGCACTGGTATCAGCGCTGCGCCGTTAGGGCTCAGCAGGCCTGTGGTGGGAGTGCGCGGCACAGGCAGTGGCAGAGCCGTTTCCACCCTGGGGACGCCACAGGGAGGACCAGGCAGCCTTGCCAGCCCATCTGCCTTCTGGGCAGCCCTCTGGGTGACTCGGGAGAGGGTGGTGGGAGGGCGATGAGGGCGCAGAGGAGGAGTCTGTGGCCCCTGGGGCTCACTGTGGGGCTGCACATGGGCGGGCACGTTGGCCCTGTGGCACCGAGGAAGGCGGCCTCGGCATCCTTGGACAAAGAGCTGGGCACCATGCATGTGTCTCGGAGAGCAGGAGTGAGTGCTCCTGGCCTGGCCGGGGCTGAGCTGCTTGCGTGGAAACCACTCTCGGACAGGGAGATGCCAGCCGCCTGGGTCCAGACCATCAGATCCGTGAGACTCCTGTGTCCCCCACTGGCCCCCTCTCCGCAGTGAAGGCTTAGCTTGCTGTCCAGCTTCCCACAGCAGGACTGGCCTGTGTGAAGCCTGCGGTGAGTGCAGCCGCTCTAGAGGGGTGTCTCGCATCTCACATCGTGCGTCTCACCGGGGCTCCTGGGGGTGGCTGTCCCGCTGCAGCAGGGGGCAGAGACAGACACCAGGGCGCAGGGTTGACTCCTCTCCCGAGGCTCGGGAAGTAGGGAACACCCGTAACAGTGCAGCGGGACTGTGGGCCGACTCCGTGTGCAGGGCCGTCAGACACCACTGTGGCTGCTGAGCCTGAACGGCCTGTGCAGCAGACACCACCTCCCGTCTGGCATCTGCCGGCTCTGTCTTGGTTGTGCTCGCTCAAGTGTGAGTGCTGGCCACTGCCTTGCTCTGCTGTCCATGGGGGCCAATGGCTTCTCACTGCGTCCTCCTGTGGAAGGAAGGGTGGGAGCCTCCTGATCCCACAGATATTGAAACAAGTAATAATCAAAAATTAAGTCAGTAATTTAGTAACTTTCCACAAAGCCAAGCCCAGTTGGTCTTCTGAGCTATTCTCAGAGGTGTACAGAAGTAGAGCCAGTCTGCAGATGCTCTTGGGATTTTGTGACTGAAAAGAAAATCTCAGCAAACTTGGAGCAGAGGGGCTCTTAGTCTGCTGACACCTAGAGCCCTGCAGCCAGCGTCACACTTGTCAGTGAGCCCTGCGTGATCCCCAGGTGTCTGCTGCCCCTCCCCACTGTCGGTGTCCACAAGGCCATGCAGATGGCTGAGGGCTGGGGAGCTGTCGTCCTGGTAGCCGGCAGGGTTATGTTTCTTAGGAGACCAGAGCCAGTAGTCCAGCAGGTTTGCCAAGGCAGGAGGCAGGAGTCCAGAGTTACTCACAGGCGAGGTCTGTACCATGCACTGGATGGGGAACATCTGGAAGTGCATTTTAAAACAGATGTGCAGTGGCGTCAAACACAAAGTGCTTGTGGGTCAGTTTTACAAAGCACATGTATATCCCTTCCTGTGTGTCCTCTGCATGTGTGCCCTGCATGTGCTGTCCATGTGTACCATGTGCCCTCCATGTGTTTATCGTGTGCCCCCGCATGTGTACCCTGCATGTGCCATCCACATGTCTGTGCCCTTCACGTATCATGTGCCCTCCACATGCCCCCTGCCTGAGCCTCCACGCATTCACCGTGCGTGTGCCTACATGTGTACTGCGTGCCCTTCATGTATCATGTGCCCTCCACATGTTCTGGGTGTGCAACCCATTTGTGCCCTCTCTAGGTGTACCCTGTGTGCCTTCCACATGTGCGCTCTCCAAGTGTGTATGCTGTGTGCCCTTCGCATGTATACCGTGTGCTCTGCCTGTATAACTTGTGCTCTCTGCATGTGTACCCTCTGCGTGTGTACCATGTGTGCCCTCTGGGTGTACACCCTGTGTGTCCTCAGCATGTGTACCGTGTGCCCTGTGTGCCCTCTGCCTGTGTCTTGTGCCCTCCACGTGTGCACCCTGTGTGTGCCCTCCAAGTGTGCACCCTGTGTACATCCTCCACATGTGCACCCTCTGCACTAAAAACTACAGAGCAGATGGAATGTGAGAAAATGAAAATATGGAAACAAAGTCTTTGTAGGTAGGTAGGGAGGGAGGGAGGGCATAGGGATGGGAAAAAATAACCAAGATGGAGTATGTAAAGGTGTAAATTTCCAATGATGAATTCATATTTTACACCTTAAATGTACCGATAAAATTAATTTTAAAAACTACAGAGCAGGTAGAATGCGCGTGAGCAGCAGAGAAAGAGTAGTGAGGCTGGGCACGGTGCTCTCCTGCAGGGAGGGAGCCGTGGGGAGCCCAGGGAGCTCGGAGGAGGGGCAGCAGTGCACAGGGTCCTGCGTGGCATCCAGAAGCCAGAGTGCAGTGTGGAGGGCCAGGAAACTGGACTCTGTGGGCCCCTGTAACTTCTAGAAACGTCCTTTCCCCATGCCTGGGTGTCTTTGCCCTCAGTTTGGAACTTGATCAAGGTGAGACTTCCTTTACTCCGTTCTGGTTCTCAGTACACACAGAAGATCACCGTCTGAGTCCAGGCTGGAAGGTTGTGGATGTGTTCAGAGGTGGCAGTCATTTCCGTGTGCATGCCCACCACGTCTCATGCTCAGCCCCAGCCCCATCCGCCAGACCAGTGACCGCACAGCCACCAAGGCGAGGGGAGGACGTGTGCTTGTCCCCTTCAAGCTGCAGCCTGCCCCGTGGCCCGAGCCCAGCCCAGCACGTGGTGTTGCCAAAGAACCGATGCTGACAGACACCGCTCGGCCAGAGGCCCACTTGCTAGTCTGTCTGCTCCATTCTGAATGCTCTGCAGACAGGGACTAGTTAGTCTGATAGCCCTGTGGAAACTCAGAAGACTGAGAATGAGTAACCATGAACAAAACCGATGGCTCACAGTCAGGGGCTGAAGATGCTCTGGGAAGTTGTCAGGAGGATGCAGTGACACCCTGAAGGCAGATGCATCCATTGGGGTGGAGAATCCGGAAGTGGAAAGGCCCTTGGGGGAGAAAGGCTGTTCTCACAGGTGGAACTGGACACATGCTGGCCAGAGGGCGACTGAGCTTCTGTCTCACACCAGCCAGGACAGTGAATTCAAGGAGAGCCTCAGAGGTAAAGGAGCCAGAACTGCAACGTGCCAGGGAACCATTAGAGGAGCTCGGCCTGGGCATGGACTCCGGCGAGGGAGATGTCAGTCGTGGACCGCTTAAAAGTGGCTGAGCTGGACTTCCTCGAAGTCAGGGCTTTTGCTTATATCAGACACCATTAGCTGGGGATGCAGCTTCGTGGGAGGGGGTGTGCTCGAGGACCTGAGTTCGACCCCCGAGACTGCTGAAACAAATCAATACTAAGCCAGTGTGACTGCACACGCCTGTGGTCCAGCTGCTGGGGAGGCTGAGGCAGGAGGATTGCTTGAGACCAGGCACCCAAGGGGCCAGCCCGGGCAACACAGTGAGAGTCTTTGCTCTTAAACATTAAAAATAAGGCTCCCTTAGGAAAATGAATAGACAAACCACAGACTGGGAGAAGTTGATCCATATATTTAGCGAAAGGCTAGCATGAGAAGAATATACTGTATTACAGAATTCCTATGGCCTAGCAGTAAAGACAGTCCTGTGAAATAGCTATGGCAGTTTGAAAAGCCAAATGTGCTCACTGGGCAAACAAAAACGCATCTGTCATCGGGATCAGAGTAATACACATGGAAACCGCAATACGCCACGGTGGACACAACCCACGTGTCTCAGTGCCAGGTGTAACAGGCGGGGCCACCGTGGGACATGGTCTCGGGGTGAAGGCGCCTCTGTGGGGACAGCGCAGCTTGATTTTATTAAATCGCTGTTCACCACAGGACACGCAGCCCCGCCATTAGGAATGCGGCTGGGTGTAGCTCAGCACAGCACTTGCGCGGCAGTGGCCGGGGCCCTGGGGTCACCCCACACACGTGTGCAGGCGCACACCCAACACATCTGGGGAGTGACCCACATCTCCATCTTGGGGCTCCTGGTGGAAGGCTCCTCGCCACAGCACTGACGGTCTGGACGGGTCATCGTGGATGAAACCAGATACAGAGCCTCAGCCTGGGGTCTGGGTTGCTTGAAACCCGAGTGGCGCACCGAAGACCCACGGGCTTCACACACGTGTAACTTACACCTTCGTTAAAATGCTTTACATCCATCCGGAACAGAGCTGGAATTGTGGGGCCGTTGGTCCCGGAGACTAAAGTTCTGCCATCCTGGTCTCCTCTGCCTCTACCCTGCAGACCTGAGCGCGCATCCTGCACCATGTCAGGGGGTACCCCGGGCGTCGCCGCAGCCAGCACCCCCAGGCCCACTGGGAGGGTGCCAGGCTCAAGCCCACACTCGCCCCACAAGCACAGAACCCTGCTGTTTCTGCAACACAAGGCTTTGCCACCCGCAACCCAAAATACATGACCTCATGTGAGTTTCTGTGCTGGATTAAGGTCTGCGCACCGTGAGGCGTGTAATTACGGCCACAGACCTGGGAAGGCGTGGGCTCGCCGGGCTGTCAGCCCTCTGCTGAGGATTCAGTGTTCTGCCCTTCTGCTGCCCAGTGCCGTGTGGGAAACACCAGACATGCAGAGGTACAGCGGGCGCACAGTGCCCTGTTGGGCACGGAGAGGCCTGTGGGGCTCTGGTGGGCCTGCTGGTCCCAAGAGCTAAAAAGCGAAAGTGGGCGCCTCTGTGTGGCCCGATACAGATGTGACGGACACAGCTGTCCTGGCTGGTGTCTACCACACACCCTGCTCGTCAGGGCCAGAGACCACCTAGGGAAGGGAGGGGCAGAGGGCGACGCCGGCAGGCTTGCACCATGGACAGCAGCTGCTCCTGCAGCCACACTGACGTGGAGGGCGTCTGTCTCCCTTCCCTTTCACATTTAGACCCACTGCATTTGTGGGTGTGATGACGATGAGATGGCAGACCTTTCGGAGACTAGTTCCCAAACTGCAACCCAAACCCAAACCCAAACCCACTTATTTATCACCAGGCGCCACCACTGCAATTAGACCCAAATCCTGAGATTTTAGTTCAGAAAAAGCAACTCCTACGTTGATATCGTTTGTCTTGAAAGAAAAACATAGTAACGGAGCTTTCCGTGATCCCAGCAGCCTGCAACAGCACATGCGCCCTAGGTTCACCACCAGTGGGGTGATCAGGACTCCCCCCAACCCCGTCCCCATTGGGGACGCCCAATGGACCAATAGATGGCGGGCAGTACGGGACCAAGAGTTCCTGCAGGAGCTACCTCAAATATGTGTACAAGCACGCGCACAAACAATTCCTGGCATCTCCCTGGGGCGCAGCTGAAGACAGGTGGCCTCCACACAGGGCTCCCTGGGAAGACCTGGTGGCCCCTATGCAGGCCCCACTGGGGTGCTGCCAGCCGTCCCCGGGCTCAGCAGAGGGGTGTGCAGCACGGGCCGCACGCAAGTGGCGCCTCCTGCTCTGTCACCTGGGGTCACCCTGGAAAGGCAGGCGGGAAGTGCCTTGTGGGCCCAGTGCTGTGCAAAGGGTGCCCTGCTTATCCCAGGCTCCTGAGTGGGGCACCTGTCCTCCAGTCCCCGGGGAGCCATGCCCTGGGCTGTTGTGTGTGAGCTGAAGTGAAGGGACTGGCCCAGCTCGGTACCTGGTGACGTGGACATGGGACTGCCAGGCAGTTGTGACCCGGCCCCTCTGTGGCCCCAAGATGCGGAGTGCGTTGCCTTGGGTGGGGGACACTGGGGAGGCGGCAGGAAGAGGTGTGAGTGTCCAGCCCAGGGAGTGAAGATCACAGCCCTGCCTGGAATGTGCGTCTGCCGCTCCCCTCAGCAGAGACCGCCCCCCTGCAGGCCATGGGGAGCCCCAGGCTTTTGCGTCCCAGGCAGATGGCCCAGGTCTCTAAGAACTCGGCCTCTGTACACACAGGACGGCTCCCCTGTGCCCACACTGCCCTTCTCGTCCATGCTCTGGAGTCTGCACCCTGACCTTGCCCGTGCCATCAGGCCTGTCGTGGGCCTGATCTGGGTGACCCGGGAGACTTCCCAGGGGCACGCGGCCCTGGGGGCAGCCTCAGCGCCCACCCACCACGCTCCTCTCCCCGCTGCAGGGAGACTGTCTGGACCCACCGCGTTCGCTTCCTGGAGGAGCAGGCCCTGCCGCACTGGGCAACCTTCACCATCTGGAACGCGGGCAAGCAGGGGCGCAGGCTGTACCGAAGCCTGACCGCCGCCAGCCGGTGCAAGGCAGGTGTCCCCCAGCCCCGCCTGCCCACTCTCCCCAGGCCCGTCCTATGTGACCTAGTCTGTGCTCTTCCCCCAGGTGGTGGCCTTCTGCGACGTGGATGAGAAAAAGATAAAGAGGGGCTTTTACTGCCACGAGGACACCCAGGTGTGTGGGCCAAGGCGGGCAGTGACAGAACTCCAGGGGGAGCCCTGGCCTCAGCCAGCAGGTGCTGCCCCGCACCCCAACGTATTCTCTGGGGAAGACACCCCACCCCAGCAAGTGGCTACAAGGCAGGGGAGGTGGCCAGCACAGGCTCCTGGGATGCCCTCTCTTTGGGGAGCCCATGTGACCTGTATGGCCGGTGCTGTCCCTTCCAGGAAAGGCCCAAGCCGAGGGTTCCCATCCTACACTTCCGAGCTGCCCGGCCACCCTTCGTCATCTGCGTGAAGCTGGTGAGTATCCTGCAGGACAAGAGCACCTGGCCCAGGCACACTGACGGCCACCCTGGCCACACAGTGACACTGCAGCCTGGGCCAGGACTGTGGGCGTGGGGCTGTACTGCAGGTGGACCCTTGAGGCTAGCTCTCTCCTGAGCACCACTGCAGCACTCTGGGCTGACTGCCACTGGGGTGGAGAGGCCAGGCGCCACCCTGCGGATCAGCATTCATGAAAATGCACGAGTGCCAGGCCCAGTGCCACTCAGGGAGCCGCCCCCCACATGACCTGGCACAGCCTCCAGGAGCCCAGTGGGCACTGTGCCAGAACACTGCCACAGGGCCCAGCCCAGGTGAGGGGTTCTGTGGCTTGCACCCCACCGTGGGACCCGGGTCACAGCCCTTGCTCCCCTGCAGGGATGGGGTCGGGGGCAGCGTGGCCGAGCCTGCAGAGGCGAAGGGCCGGCGGGGCCAGGCTGACACCTCACCGGTGACCACGTGACCCTGTCGGCTGTGCCCATTGCCATTGGCAGAGGGGTTCACAGTGAACCCCAACAGGCGGACACAGGCCGACTCCAAGCCCCAGCTCCTACTGGAGGGTCTGCAGGGGCCCAAAGAGCACGGGGAGCCAGACTGAGCCAGCCCCGCTGCTTCCACACAGGACCTTACCGGGGGCGAGTTTGAGGACAATCTCCGGTCGCTGAGCCTGCGTGAGGGCTGGGACTTCCTGCACTTCAGCTGAGCCGCCACGGCCAGGTAGGTCTGCCCTGCCCGGCCCGGCCCTGTCCTGCCCTGCCTGCTGGCCCCTGCTCCATGCTGGTGGACCCCCCCACAGCTGTGACGCTCACCTGTTCCTGCCCAGGGAGCTGCAGTCTTCTGTCCTCAAAACCACTCAGACACTCTCGGGATGGATCCCAGTCGTACTAATGCTCATCGACACTTTATAATCGTGAATGTAATTTTTAAGCCACTTGATCTAAAGTGGGCATTTATGTTATAAGAGTTTAGGTTCCGTATTTTAGGCAAGTCCTCTAGCCAAATTTCTCTTTACTTTTTTAACCCATCCTCCTAGTTGTGAGCCCAGTGATTTGGCTTCAGTGGCACATGCTGGGTGGCTGCCCAGGCCTTGAGTATGGCGCTGGCCGCAGAGCCCACCTTCCTGTCCCCCACAGCCTGGGAGCAGGAGCGGGGCCCGGGCCAGTTCTCTGGGCAGTGTCCTCTAGTGGTGAGCCTGTGAGCATGCGGCTGTCCTCTAATTGGACCCCTAACCCAGGAGTCGGTGGTCAGTGTGCTTACTCCTGATGCTGCTTTTCTGGCCACTCTTGGGCAGTGCTGCTTCTTACTGACCATTTCCCCTGCACTGCAGCCCTCCTGCGGCACCCACAGGGCGTCGGCAGGCCTGCCCCCACCAGAGGGACGCCAAGCCCAGACCCTGCCCTGCAGAGCACAGGACAGACATGGATGGCACCTGGCCACAGAGACAGCCACTCTGTCCACTGTACCATGAGTAGTCCGGGGAGCACAGCTGCCCTCACCCCCCAACTCCACGGGCAGCAGAAGCCTCCAGCCCCCACCTTGGTCTCGCAGCTCCCTGGGGCACATGATTCCAGAGACACGAGAGCAGTATGGAGTATGACTTTATGGGAGCACATTTGTGTGGGGCAACAGCAGAGACATCAGGGCCCAGGGAACACGAGGAGGAGGCACCGTCTTTCCACAGACATCTGCACCAGGCTCTGGTGTGGCCATCAGTGTCGCTAGGAGCAGGATGTCCCCACGAGCAGGAGTCCCATCTCAGCTCCTGGACCAGCTTCAGTGAGCACCGGCCTGTGGGAAAGATGGCAGGTTATGAGTAGCCCAAGCCTCAGCCCCTTCTCCAGAGGCCCCAGCCCAAGCAAGGTGGAGCCGCCACACCTTCAGTGAGCACTTGGGAATTGTTCTCTGGAACCTGTCACACGCTGAGTGTTTTCCCAACGAGGACGTAAAAATTTCACTTAGATCAGAAACCAGATGCTGTGTTCAGCCTCTACACCCCAGCAGCCAGGATGCCACCTTTGTCCCCACCCTGTGTAGGGTGCTCACTGGCCCCCAGAAACTGGTGGGGCTCTTGTGAGGAGGCCCTGCCCAGCGGACCTGGCATATCTCCTAAGAGGAGGCAGGAAAGGAGGAGAGCAGCTTCCAGAGATGAGGACCCAGCACCAAGGACACTGAGTCAGAAGAGGAAGAGAGGCTAAGACTGGGCACTGTGGCCCACCCTGTAATTGTGGCTACTTGGGAGGCTGAGACAGGAGGGTTGTAAGCTTGAGGCCAAGCTAGGCAAGTGAACAAGACCCTGTCTCAAAAGCAAAGTGAAACATAGGACATGTATGGCATGACAAGTTCATAAAACTATTACCGGAACCGAGAACCTGCGTGAGCTGTGAGTAGTGCAGTGGCAGAATGCTGGCCTGGCACACTCAAGGACCTGGAAGACCAAGTTCGTGAGGAACACCTGACCTGATAAACACCCGGAGCAGGGCGCCTGGGCACACGGCCTCTGAGGCTGGAGCCCAGGTCTGGGGAGCAGCAGACCCACTGCCGGGGGGACGGTGCTGAGTAGAAGCCCAATTCCTTCAGATGTACATGGAGCGGATGCGGCTATAGAGCAACTGTGAGCAAGGGCAGGAGGTGCTCAGGACAAGGTGACAGAGGGGAGAAGAAACAGGGAGGGGACAGCAGGAAAAAGTCACAAAGGAGTCAAATGGGAAACCAGCGGTGGGTGTAGACCCAGAGAAGGAGCAGGCACTGAAGAGAAATGGACGAGACTCCAGTAGACAGAGCGGACTTTACAGAGGAAGGAGGCTGTGTTCACAGCGGCTGCAGTGCACACTCCACCCACCCTGCGGAGCGCATTTCTTTTACTTTAATGCAAATCCTCACTAAAAGAAACGAGAAGAGGTAAAGAGCATCAGCCATGGCCTCAGGGCCCTGGCCCGGCCTTTCACACAGGTGCAGGCTCGACAGAAGCCAAGCACACACCTAACAACCGCTTCCAGTGTGTGGTGAGATCAAGACTCTGCACCACTCTCAGCAACGGGCAGAGTAGGATGGCACAGCACAGTTCAGAGGCCTCAGTCCTGTCCACACAAGAGGAAAACAGTGGCCTGCCGTGAGGCCCACACCTGCTCCTCCATCACACACCTCAGTGGGAGGGCGAAATATCACACTGTTGGAGAGGTTTCACATCTCACCCTGCGGACCCTGTCCCTGATGATAGGAGAACAGGATCAGTAGACACAGGAACAGACAATTAGCAATGGTCAGCCCACAGGCAGATAGCCAATGAAAACAGCATCCCTACCTGTCTGATGTTCTGTGTAAAGTGTGTAAATGCACTGGAAACAGAAGCTTCTGCTGCGTGCAGTGGGCATGGAGACCTTGCACATGCAGACAGCCCAAAAGGGCATGCAGGAGCAAGGGACAAGGCCAGGTCCCTGGGTACTCTGAGGAGGACAGTGCTCAGCACAGGGCACAGACGATGGCAGCTGAGGTGGGGCCCCATCTGACAGGTATAGGGGGTGGTGTGCAATGGTGGAGGTGGGCAGGAGATTCTTTGTGAGGGGCCAGGGCCAGCACAAGTCCTCCCGGAGGCAGTGACCTGGAGCCACCAAAACAGGAGGCAGGTGCTGGGCTGGGCACAGAGGATGGGCTCAGTCAGGTCATGTCACGCATGCCCATGAAGCTGCAGGTGTGGAGCACACTGTAATGCCTTGTATCTAGTGTCCCCCAGAGCCTCATGTGCTCAGAGGCCAGGCATGATGCTACAGACTGAAACCTACAGTGGAGCCAAAACACCGCTCCTCAGATTTGTGGGTGTCGGATGCGGTGTCCCAGTGACCGTCAAAAGACACGATGCCACCCAGCGTGAGTGGGGAAGCTCGGGCATTACCTTGGGGACCAGCTGGGGCTGGGGCACACCGAGGAGGTCGCACAGGCGATTCCGCTGCTGTCTGACGACCGGCAGCTCAGCATCCCTGCGTGGGAGGACCAGCTGTGAGCCCTCGAGCCCCAGGCCTGTGCCTGTGGCTGCAGCGGCTCTGGACCGCAGCTGAGGGCAAGATTGGAAAGCCCTCACCAGAGATGGGTGCCCAGGTGAATGCTGGCTCGGCACAAGGGCAGGGCGTGACCAGAGGGATGGCACTGAGGGCCAGGGAACAGGTTCTACCTGCTGTGAGGGCTTTTCAGGATGTATGTGAATCCAGTAATTTGCTTTCATGAAAACCAAAACTTTGGCAATGCTATGGCAAAATATTGAGCAGTTTTTCTTGTGATACCGTTAAATTCATTGGAACTTTAAGTTAATGTGGCATCAAGTTACTCATCTGTTTCTGTCCTGTTTTTTAAAAAACTGAAAACACGTGCTGACTGGTCTTCCTGTGGTGGTTCAGGGCCCACATCAGGCTGTGGAGCCCAGCACCTGGGAGCCCCAGATTGGTCAGGGCTCGGTACATGTGGACACTGCACAGCCTCGCCGGCTCACAGCACCACCAGCCCCCGCACTTGTGGGGGGGGGGTACAAGGGCAGAAAGGGCCCCACCCACCCGGGCCTGTCCCCTGCTTAGTTCCTCACCAAACAAGGGTGATACTGGTGCCCGTGGGGGAATACGGGTGCTCACGACTGAGTGCACATGGGCCCTGTCTGCGTGTGACCACACAGGTGTGGCTGTGTGCACGGCTACTCGCGTCCATGAGCATAACTCGGTACCTCTCAGCCCCACACGTGCACCTGTGGCACGACCGTTGTCACTGCACTGCTGAGCGCAGGCCTTCCCGCCTAGGACACCCTGAAGCTGCACTGCAGGCAGCGGTCCCCACCTGGCCAAGCAGGGCAGGGTTCCGGGGTGGGGCCGCGCCTGGCTCTCTGCACCCTGCTCTGAGCTTTGTCCTCACAGGGCCTATGCAGTGCAGCCTCGCTGGTGGGAGTCTCAGATGCCCTCACACCCTGGGGCCTGTGCTGCACCCTGGACAGGGTTCCCTGACAGCCACTTCCCATCACTGTGGGTCAGGAGCTGTCACTCGCCAGGGTAGTGGTGAAACAGGCACCAGTGCCCGGCAGTGCCCAGACGCAGGACCGGGCCACCCGCCCACCTCACAAGGAACGCACCTGGACAAAACCCTCCTACCCAGTGCCGAGCCCCAGGTGGTCCCCAGGTGAGGCAGTGAAGGGCAGCCAGGGTGATTTCTCTCCGCTCCTCAGAGGGCTCGGGGAAGCCTGGCAGACTCGGCACACTCAGGTCCCCGCTTACCAGACCGTGTCACTGAGAACAGCCATGACCTCGTCCAGGGTGTCGGCGCTCACCACGCCACTGTAGGTCAGCACCATCTCATACACCTGGCTTGCTGTGGTCTTCCGGATCTGGGCAAGGACACATGTCAGTGGGAAGGAATGCCACAGCCAGAGAACCCAAGCTCCCGAGATCCTCTATGAGGACAGCAGACCTCAGCCCAAGCAGAGAGACCCTGCAGCCTCTACGGGACACACGGTTAGGAGAGGAAGGCTTCAGGAGCCAAGGTGTGTCACTGTTGGGAAGCGGCCGGCCACCTTTTCAAGCTGCAGGACTGGCCCCCAGGAATCCGTATTACTGGTGGTCCAAAAAGGCCAAGCTGAGGGTTCAGCTCCCCAGCCTGACAGCCACTGCGTCTTGGGAAACTCGCCTCAGGCCATTTAGAGTTCCCACTGCCAGAGGAAGGGAAGTCTTGGCAGTCACCCTGGACGGAAGCTGGGCTCTGGGGCACGCTCCCACCCCACCTGGCATAAGCAGTGTTACCTGCACTCGGCCACACCTTCCTGCCCCACCTGCCCAGAGCCACTGCTGTGCCTGCGACGCCACCCAGCTCCACCATGCTTCTCTGCCTGTTCAGAGTCACCTGCGAGCACCATCCCTAAAGGCCTCTGTCTGCACAGGCTGGGCCTGCAGGTGGAGGGCTAGGGCGACACTCACCACAGGGAACGGATGGCAGAGGAGCAGCATCAGCTGCAGGAGCACCTTTTTTCTCACGTCACCACAGAACTGCACCATCCCACAGAGCCTGCCGGAGAGGAGCCAGGGGACATGAGGCTGTCAGCAAGGCCGAGGCATGTGGAGACCAGCCATGTGCAGCCCAGGCCCCAGGGTGTGAGGGCACCTGAGAGGGCCCCCACCTGCAATGTTCCCCAACCTTGGGGCCCTAGGTGCAGTTGAGGTGTTTGCGACACTGAATCCTGGGCACTCAAGAAAGCTGCAAGACCAGAACCACCTGTGGTCGCCACACCCCTCCTGCACAGTCTCAGGCCAGGCCACTTAAAACTCACACTGTGATGCTGGACCGAAGTTTCTGGGTGTTTTTTGACTTCTTGATCTCTTCTTTACAAAGCGCAAGCAACTTCACACAGAAGGGGTGGCTGGAAGGAAAACACAGTATTCTAGAGCAGAGCTTTCAAGGGAGCACCTGGCAGCACATAACATGCACCATGGTGGCATCCAGTGATAGCAGCCCACTCGCTGGGGGACACTGAGCAGGAGACAGAGTGGCCCCTTGACTTCCGGCAGATGCAGCAGAGAGCAGATGCCTGCCTGTCTCACCAGCAAACCACAGCTGCCCAGTTTCCCCAGCACAAGGCAGCCTGGCCCAAGTGAAGCCCCAGTGGTCGAGACCCTGCCTGACAATGTCATGGCTCTGAGCAAAGCCCACAAATAGCCCTGGGCAAAGCAGCAGGTACAGCTGAGTCCTACCCAGGCCCTCTGCCCACACCGGCCCCAGTCAGCTGCAGTGCTCCTAGGCTGGCCTGGGACCAAGTAGCCTTGTCCTCAGGTCCCCTCTGTCCCTCGCAACCTGGCTCCCTCTGTCAGGTTGCTGAGGGCTGTGGTCACTGTGGTCCCCAGTCCATGTGAGGGCCACACACAGCCATCTGTAGCCTCCTTCAGGATGCATGCTTGGTTTCCCTGTGCTCTGACCCCTGGCCAGGTGCTGCCCCAAAGTTGTCAGGACCTCCAAAGCCTACAGCCGCAGTTACCTCCATGTCTGACAGGCATCCCAGCCCTGTGACTCTGAACCAGACTTCAGAGACCCAGCCACACTGGCCTCACCCAGTTCTGTCTCAGGAAGGGCAGGTCCAGGCAGGAGGAGTGCTCCTGGCTCCGCCACCCCCTCCCCTGCCACATCTTGCTCACAGCAGCGTGCCCAAGAGCCAGTAGGTACCCGGTTCCTCTCCCACCGTCCACAGCCCCAGGGCTCCCCTTATGCCTGGGCCCAGTAAGGATTCATGCAGCAGCAGGCACCATGCCAACAGTTCCCAGTAGCGAGCCTGGCACAAGGGTGGCCAGGGCAGAGTTGGAGCTGCACTGCAACACTTGTACTCCAGTGTGGTAGAACCGAGGCCTGATGAGTAACTAACTCTCAGCTCTGGGCCAGCATCTGAGGTGCTGTCAAGAGACGAGGGGATGGGCACCCTGCACCCTCAGCAAGCTGCAGCTGAGCACCAGTCACTGGGTGTCAGATGCAGGAGACAGGGCCTCGCTCACACGGACACACAGCTCAGCCCACAGCATGAACCAAGACAGCCTGGGGCCTAGGGCCCCAAAGAGAGAGGTGGAAACACAAAGTCTAGGCCTGAAAAATGCAGAAAAACAAAACCCAGCACTCTACGAGTGAACTCAGCAGGAGTTCAGAAATGTCAGAAAAATCCACAGCTGGAAGATGGGAGAGGTAAGGAGGCGAGAGAGGAAGGCTACTCTTGAGATGTGGAGCTGAGAGCACCACTGAGACGTGAGGCAGCGCCTGGGACTGCGGATCCGAGCAGCAGGACTGGTGGGGCGTGGGGCCGGGGGCCGGGGGCCAGGGCAGCAGGACGGCGGTGCTAGCGCCTGGGATTGCGGATCCGAGCAGCAGGACTGGTGGGGCCGGGGGCCGGGGGCCGGGGGCCAGGGCAGCAGGACGGCGGTGCGAAGCGGGGGAAGAACGCAGCCTGGAATCCCGTGTCTCACTCGGGTCAACCAACACAGAGACTGCGGGACATGCTCCGGGCGGAGGGGGATGAGGCAAGGGCCCCGGAGCGCAGAGGTAATGAGAAAGACATTTCAAATGAATGGAAATAATCAAGACTCGTTTGTTTTATTCTTGGTAGAGTCTACGGGTGAATTACTGAAAATTACTTTGGTAAGTCAGGAGTGTGTGATACAATTTCTAGGACAACCATTAAGAGAAGAGAAAAAAGCACAAAGTCCCCCAAGAAGATACAAGGAAAAAGGAATGAAAAAAGTGATTATAGCAATCAAAGCGATGTCGAGAGATGGGGGAAGACAGGGAACAGAAAACCAGGGGAAAACATCTTTCTGTGGCAGATTCAACCACTAGGCACAGAGGTCCACACCTGTGAGCCCAGCTACCTGGGAGGCTGGAGGCTAGCAAAGTCGCAGTCAGCTTGGGCCGTGGAGCAAGACCCTGTCTCAGAAAGATGAAATGGCAAATTGGAAACCAAGATGAAATGAAATAGATTAAAGGACTCAGTTTAAAGATGATCAGATCAATAACAAAACTATAGACCGATAATAGCAAATATTCAAAAAGCAAAATACAGTGGTACCTCAGTTCACAGTTCTCTGTGCAACTGAACTGGATGAAAACTGATTAAATTTCCCCTTAAGGTCAACATTGAACCTGACCACTGAATCTGATTCGGTTCTCATCCAATTCAGTTTGCAACCAGAATTGTAGAAAGAATCATTATGAACCGAACTTGATTCTCAGGACCTTGGTACACAAACTGGATTCTTTCCACAATTCTGGAAAAGACAGACACATTCGTGTTTGTGGGGGAAAGATGGCCACGGTCGTATTTTTCACCCTATGCAAATTCATACAGATACAAAATTCTGCTAAATGTTTCTGTTTGCAAACCAAAAGCATTTCTGTGAACCAAGGTGCTACTGTACAGTACATGAAATAATGAAAGTCAAAGAAAATTAAGTTCAAAGTCACCCAAAGCAATACAAGACAATACAAGTACCTCTAGAAATGCAAAGGGTCATTCAATAGGAGTCAACCCTAAACTTGTACATGCCAAAAGTAAAGCTTCAAAATCCATAAAGCAGAAATTGATGAACTATAGAAAGAAATTTTTAAAAAGCTATTATCACAGCAAGAGGTATTTTCCCCACCATCTTACTCTGAAGTACATGTAAAACCTAAACAGAAAGTTGGGCAGCTGCTGAACATGTAGCATGCGAGTAGTGACATCACCCCGCCTGGTTCTCCCGGGCAGACAGGAGAGCCGCAGCGTGCGTGCGTGCGTGAGGACCTGCCCCCAAGTAAAGGTTCAAACGGCATCCAGCAGGGGTGGATATCCAGCCTCCTGCTGAGACAGCAGCTCTGGGGACCATGCATGGCCCAGCTCAGCACCTGAGTCTGCACAGGCTCTGGGCGGAGTACGGAGAAGGGCTGAGTCTGGTCAGCCCAGGCCTCACAGCCAGGGAAGAAAGCTCGGCGAGGAAAGGGCAGCGAGCAGAGACCTTGAGTGGGAGAAAGTCAACCCGAGACTCCGAGAGTTAAAAGCAACATCTGGAAAGATGTTTTCCCAGGGACTTCAGTGCCCCAGACACAGGACTGTCAGGCCAGCAAGGCAGCTTCAATGTCTATACCAGGAAAACCAGCAGGCACCAAAGTGGAGGGTGGGACCCCTCCCTCAAGGCAGCCCGGCACCCCAGGGCGGAGGTGACTTCCCACTCGGAGACACACACACAGGCAGGGCATCTGGGTCTGCCCGTGGTGGGCACAGGCTGTACAGGCCCCTGCCATCCTGCCCACGAACCAGGCCAGGCCCTTTTCATAGCTCAGACTCAGGCACAGCCATGGCCACCAGCCCCTGCCGGGACACCTCGCCTCTCAGGCCACCCCACCCCACCATGGCCGGCCACCAGTGCACAGTGTGCACACTGAGCCCGAGCACCCCGGAAGGTGTTCTGGGGTCTGCATGCCAGCCCCGAGTGCTGCTTCTACCAACAGGGGCAGAGGACGGGCGGGCCTCACTTCTCCTCCCTGGTGAAGATGTCAAAGCACCCGTTGGCCAGCATGTGGTCCAGCATCTTCAGCAGCGACACGGACACTCTGTGGAGAGAAAACGCGAGTGAGACTCCATGCCATCACGCAGGGTGTGCAGGGACGCAGGAAGGGACAGGCAGACACGACAGCACCCACGCAAAGTAGCTGAGAAGGCCTCCAGGCCACCACACAGAGGGGAGAGCTTCCTCTGCCAGAGCCAGCTAGTCCTCACAGACTTTCGTTTCCAGGAGTGCCGAGCTCACCCGCTCACTCGGGTCCTGGGATCTATAGCCAGGATCCATGTCCCATGTGCCTGGCATGGGGCTCAGGCTACTCTGCCTCCAGGGAACACTGCTCCCCAGACCCCCAGAGCCAGGACAGTGACAGCCCACACGTCAGACGGCCCACCCCACCTGCCCAAGGGCACCACTCGCCTGTCATTCAGGAGGTTGTCCTCAAAGACCTGCAGAAGGGTCCCAGTGAAGCTGCCCAGAGCCTGGGGGTCCTGCTGAACCCCCTTCATATACTCAAAGAGGCTCTGGGTGGAGTGCTTGACCTGTAACACCGAGGGGCCATGAGTTTGGTCAGCTCCACAAGGTCCTGAGGAGGCAGTTGCTTGCCAGTGACAGGAAGCACACAGGCTACCACACATGCACACACTGGACCCCTCCCTGTGCCCGGACATGGCGACTGGGTACCAGCACCAGCACTGCAAGCTCCACAGCCTGCCCCAGAGCCCACATGCACTCAGACCTCCGTGTGGGCTCAGGCCTGGGCCCGGCAGAGTGGACTGGAGACAGATACATGCCCCAAGCAGCACAGGACCAGTATGAGAGCACACGACCTGCCTGCCTGCGGGCTTCGTGCCACCCTGGGGACGATGGGAGGAGGGACGCAGCAGCCCTGCCCAGGAGAGAGCTGGCCCATCGACTGCGAGGACCCCAAAGCAGGCACCAGTCTGGGAGAAGACAGGCCCCCGGTGGGCCATCCCAGTGAGAAGTGCTTATGCAGAGAGCACAGAGCTCCTGCAGGTAGCCTAAGGCCCCTGAGGAAGCAGCTGCATCTCCCAGGGCAGGCGGGGTCACCACGCAGCGGACACAACAGCTGCAGCTATGCAGGCACCCTCTTTCTGGCCTGCTTCACCCTTCTCAAGGGAAAAGTGTAAGAAGCTTGCTCCTCAGCAGTGGGGATAGTCTGCTAAAAGAGCCACAGAAACATCCCTTGCAGACAGCAAAACTCATTTAAAGAAACACTCAGTCCAGACAGCCCTTCATGGCAAGGCCACAGGAGGCCCCGAAACATCAGCTGCCCTCAGGGTAGACCTGCCACTGGGGCCCAGGAACCAGCAGAGCCTGAGCTGCTGCCACTCGGACACTGGTTCCACCCGTGCCAGCTCTGGCCAAGCCGCTGTCCTCCAGAGCCCACACTAAGAGCCCAGGTTCCTCGGCCCGCCAGGCCACAGGCAGCTGCCAGACCTGACCTGACAAGCACAAGTGAAGCGGAGACCAGAAGAGGTGCTGGTGTGGCCCTTGGAGGCCCAGCTCTGGCCCCAGGAAGGAGCTGCCATGTCCCCACCCTGCCCAGCCAGAGCCTCCTCACCGTGGACTCGGTCAGGCCGCCCACAGACACGGCCAACCCCAGCAGCACGTGGTAGCGGTAGGTGGGCAGCCCCAGGAGCTGGGTGATACGCGGGAAGGCCTGGGAAGGTGCGTTCCAGTTCACAGAGCTCACTTCAGACCTGCAAGAGAGCAAGCCCCTCGCAGCCGCACTCTGACGGTGGGGTGGGGGCTCCTGTGCCCCAGTGGTACCTGGGAAGCAGTGCTTCCAGTTCCCTGCGGTGGGGAACGTGGGGCACAGGGGAGCTGTCGGAGTGCAGAAGCGTCAGGAACACGTGGGCAGCGTGAGCGCGGAACCGGTCGATCTTCTCACTCGCCTGCTGGGCCACGCAGCACATGACTCGCTCACAGCTGCAAAGCAAGGGCACACACTGTCAGCCCACTGCCCAGGAGGCCACACGGGCCCCTACATCCACAGCTGCAGGCCATGTCCGCCCTGCCACCCTGTCCTCCTGGGACCACACAGCAGGCGTGCACCAACACGGATAAGGTCCTGGTAGAGCGAGTGACAGAAACAGACCAGCAGGTGGGGTGGTAGGCGAGAGACTGGGCGTGAGAAAGACGGGCTGAAAAGGGAAAGGGACCACGAAGAGAGTGGTCAGTGAGCATCTCCACAGAGCAGTGCTACTGAGGGCGGATGGAGCCCAAGGCCTCGGCAAGGAGGCACGGGAGGGTCAGCGAGCGAGGATGGCAGCCGCTCATCAGGAGCAGCCTCGGCGAGGGCCTGAGCCCAGCAGTGCCCTGCTCTGGTCCCCCCAAGCTGGATATCCCACCCTAGGATGGGGAGGCCGGAGCCTCTCCTGGGGGCACCATTCACAAGCCAGGAGCCGAGGGGTGAGGAGGGCCCCCCCCACAGGTTGTCCCGGCTTCTGGGACACTCACGTGTGGGCTTCAATCAGCTCAGGCTGCGTCTGCGCCAGCAGCAGTGTCAGGTCCATCAGGCTGCTCATGGCAGCCTCGCGGACCCTGCAGGAAAGGAGATGCGAGCAGTCAGTGTGGCACGGGATTCAGGCCCCCGTTCTACTACACTCATGCCAATGAGCACAGGCCCCGCAGGCACCCACCCAGGCTCTCCCTGGGACCACTGAGGCCCAGTGTGAGAAGAAATGTGCACAAAGACCCACCGGCCACATGCGGGCCAGGCTCTGAGAAACCCAGACTCGGGGAGAGTCCTGGAGATCGTGGGACCCCGCTGCTCCCCTGGGGAAGGTCTGGAGACCCAATACGGTGCTGCGGCCTCTGCGGGGGGTGCATGCCCCTTGCCCACCATCAGCAGGAGGCTCGTGGTCCACACCTGAGGCAAGTGGATCGCCCCAGCCACGCCTGCGACTGGAACACACAGAGCAGTCCGGGCCGCAGGGAAAAGCCCACAGACATCAGCACGCAGCTGGCATTCCTGCCGAGTACTGTGTCCTTCCCTCCCAACCACCGTTAGCTTCCTGTGGGACCAGCATGTGCATCTCCACAGAGCGAAAGCAGCCTTTCAGGTTGGAGCACAGGTGTTGTCCACTGTGATGGGGCAAGGCGGAGTAAACCAGCGGTGGAGGGGGACCCCCGTCTCATGCTAAACCCTGGGCAGGGCCCAGACCAGGATCACCCGGGGGGTCACAGATGCCAGCTGACCTCAGAACCACGCCTAGGGTCAGACAGGTGCGCTGACAGTAGTGACCCCATGCTGCCCACCCACCTGAGCTAGACCAGCCTCCATGGACACAACTTCAGAACCACCGCTGGAGTCTGTCCTGGGGAAGGCACAGGCATGGGACCTGGGGGTGCCTTGGGGGCTGCCGAGCAGTGCCACATTCCGCCTACTCCCAAGGACTCCCCGAGAAGTGCTGGGGGTGACGCACAGCTTACTGCAGGAGCTGGCAGGGTGGCCCGGGCAGCATGCTGGTAGATGTCTGTGCAGCGTGCCGAGAACATGAGGGAGGGGTGCTGTGCACAATCCCTCCCTCGCCCTGCACCGCCTCCGGAGCTGTGAGGCCAGGTGAGGCTGAGGGCAGCGACACAAAAGTCTGCAATGCACTTGAACGGCAGGAAGAACTGGCCCTGAGCCCCAGAAGCCCCACCCGGCCCCAGAAGTCAGATGTACCTGAATGGCCCCAAGCCATTCCCCAGGATGGGGCCAGACATCAACCTGAGCCTCAGCCCAAGTAAAATGTCGGCTGACAGAGAAAGCCTCGCCACTCTATCCCACAATTCAAGGCACCTTACAGAATGCAGTGAGAAGTTACAAAGAACATTTTAAAAATAACCAGTGCCCAAATAAAAGGGAAAACAGAAGACCTACAAATGATACAGACATCACAATAAACACAAAGTCCTTAAAACAAAACCTCTTTAAGGGAATGAGTTGTGTTTAACGAAACAATGGAGAAAAAGAAATGAAAAAGCACTTCTGAATTAGAATCTCTAAGGAGAGTCCAAATACTGCAAAACATACAATGCCAGAAGTCCAGCGCTCACCGAAGGGCCCCATGTGCACAGAGGCAGCCCAGGAGCCTCTACCAACACCGGAGACAGAACCACACCGCCACCGTGGGCCACAGGAGGACAGGGCAGCACTGGCCAGTGCCTATCCCTCCCTGCTCTACTCCAAGGGCAGTGCTGGCACTGAAACCCACCATTCTCTGGCACACACTGAGAATGATCCCTGTCACTCAGGTCTCCAGGAGCAGAGGGCCTCCCAGAGAAGGGGTCAGGTCTGTACAGACCTGCACCATCGCCGTGGGCCAGAGCCACTGGCTGTGGTGGGCAGGGCTCACGCTCATACTGTGTACAAATAGGCAGGCAGCGCCTCTACCACAGAAGCCAGTGCCCAGGACGCAGGGAAGAGGACAGCAGATGCATCTCACGGGACAGGACCCCAACAGAGTAAAGGGCAACCCTGACATGGCCCAGGCTGTTGTCCTGGGACAGGGAGCTTCTGGGCCAGGCAGGAGGAGGCAGCTCCTCTTGCAGGCAACACTGAAGGAGAGGCCAGACAGCACCCCACGGGACACCCACTTCAGGGTCCACGCCACGTGGCAGGTCTGCCCCATCCTGGGGGGATGGGGCAGGAAATCACCACAGGCCCTCCCAAGTCCCCTTCTTCCCCCAGTCTGGGAGGAGGCACGGCAGGTGCAGTGGGCCAGCCCTTGCAGTGGGCCAGCCCTTTCGGGTACAGGAGCCCTCCACACGTCATTCCCCTGACGAGTCAAGGGGGGCAGCAGATGCTCTCGCCTCGCCGGCAATGGGAGGGAAGGCAGGAGGTCTGCAGATGGAGAAAATCTCTGAATCAGAACCCAGCAGGTTATAAAGACAGTGAAGCTGACAACTATACTATAAGAGCTCAACAGCAGAGGGGAAGAAAAGCAACCCTGGACATAGGATCAGCAGAATCCACAAACGAAAGATGAGGAAAAAGAAAACGGAAAGTGTTAGGACCTGTCTGACACATGGCAACTGCTCAGAGGTGCAGAACAGGCACAGCCAGCAGCCGGATGGCAGGCCTGAAGGAGGGGGTGACGGTCCCACACGCAAGGCGGGAGGAGAGGGTGAGGGGCCAAGGGCTCAGGTGGCCAGGTCAAGGAGAGAGTGAACCGTCAACTGTCGAGGTCAGCACAACAGAGGACAGCTGGTCAGATGTCCTGGACTGGGGAGAGGGGGCATCCGGTGAGCCATCCAGGAGGGAGGCAGCAGGATGATGGGCAGAAAGAACCTAAGACCCCAACATCCCAACGGTCAGGTGACAGCTTCACTCCTTTCTTTCGAGCTCAGATTACCGAGCAGCCTGCTGCTTTCCAACCCTAATAAAAGCACACTCCACCCTCACGCTGCACTTTCCCAGTCCACCTCCGGGTCCAAGCATGGACAGGAGACACACAGGAGCCTCTCCCGGGCCCCTCCCGCACAGCACAGTTGGAAGAAGACACCCACACAGGGGGAAGGGAACCCCAACTGCGAGGCGGCCAAGAGCACAGTGCACGGTTGATGCTTAGGGTCCTTCAGAACAAACAGGCTCAAGAGGGGTGACCTCTCCCTTAAGTCCTGGGTCCAGGGAGAAGCAAACACGATGAGTGGCCCGACCTGGCCCCTTCCCAGGCCCTACACAGCAGCTCTTCCTGAGACCCACACACCCAGGACGCTCTGCTTCCACGCCTCCCCCGGGGCGCTGCCAGAGATGGGCAGGGAAGGACCCGCGCCTGGACAGGCTGTCCCTTGACATCTGTACCTCAAGGACGCTCAGTGCAGAGACCGTGCCTGCAATGCCACCCTTACCAGGCCCCCATATCGCCCCTGCTGTCTGTGGTGTAGTCTCCCATGCAGGCCAGCAGCGTGGTATACACCTGGGCGACATTCTGTCTGCACACAGCTTCGTCTGGGGCTGCCTCTGCCTTCACACCCACCGTCTGGCAGATCCTGGAACAGAAACGTGCACAATCCAAACCCTCCCTTCACAGCAGTGTCCTGGCGCAGCTTCCTGAGAGGATGCGCAGCACAGACCAGACCTCCCCATGCAGGCGAAGTGCCAGCCCCCCACCTCCCCAACCAAGGGGGCCGCTGCTGGAGAAGCCCAGGCACCAGGTGCCCCAAGCAGGAGGCAGTAACTGCTTGCTCCCTCTCTCCAATTACTACTGCTACTAATACTGGTGCCGAGAAGCCCACGCCTGGTACGTGCGGGTGAGTGCTCCGCCACTGAGCTGTGCTCAGCCCAGACCGTGTGTTGGGGTGTGTGTGACGTGAGGCTTCATGACCCTCCCAGCTCTCGAAGCAGTTCCTTAGTAAAAATGCAACCACACAACAGGTTTAACTTTCTTCATAACTCTGCCAACACACATCTGCCACCAAGCCGGAAACGTTTCCGTAGGAGTTCTCCAAAAGCAGAGAAACAAGAAATCAGCCACGGAACACCCGGGAACAGGCAGCACCTGCTGGGCAGCTCACCTCGCAATGGCCCTCAAGCTGTCCTTCCTGGCCTCTGCGAAGCTCACGTCCTGGGGTGAGATGCGGGTGACCGCACTCAGACCTTCAAGGACCTGAGGGTGACAGAGAAGCGGCGTTAGCTACAGAATGAACAGGACCCGGCAGAGGCGTGGCCCTGACCAGGACACAGCAGGGGCAAGGCCCTCCAAGCAGCTTGTGCCAGGGTGTGATGCGGAAGGGCACTCAGCCCCAAACCGAGGCCTCACACCTCCTGCTCCCTCTATAACCGTGGCCTAAGCCCTGGCAAGAGAAGACGGCAGTGATCGCACCGCATCTGCTTCTCTGCCATAGCGACATCTTTGCTGCCTGCTGCACGGCGCTGGCCTTTAGAGGGACACAGGTGGGAGCTCAGTCAAGCAGCTCTGAGGAGGGAGTGGGGTCCCGGAGGAGAGTACGTCTGGGCTGCAGCAGGGAGCTTGGTAGTGTGACTCAGAGAGGAAGTGCAAGTGTCTAGTGGACCAAGGGTGAAGGGCAGGAGGGACACAAAGTCTCCAGGGCTACTGGACACGCTTCATCCCTCAGACACTCCTGGGAGCAGAGAACTAAGCCAGGTGTTGAGACAAGCACACGGCACCGCTCAGACCGGACAGACAAGGACAGGTGAGCTCAAGCAAGGCCAGAGAGGGGGTCACAGAAGCAGCAGATGGGGCTAGGGTCGGCAGCAGACTGGGCAGTGATGACTTGAGTATCCTCAACAGATAAGCCCAGCTGCTCAATGGCAGACAGGCAGATAAAACAGCTGTGGGCCCTTCAAGGTCACAGTGGGCTGGGCAAGGTGCCCAGGGAGCCCAGGAGGTCCAAGGACACCACCACCACCACCCCCCAGGCATATGTACAGGCCAGCACTCAGCCCGTGGCTGCTCCCAGGCTGCCACTGTCTCGGAGTACAGGTAAAGTCCCAGGTGAAATCTCCATGCCAGGGCACAGACGCACAGCCAGCTCCTCTACCACACCCAGGCTGGCCTCTGCCACAGCCACAGCTGAGGGGACACAGGCACAGAGGCAGTGTCGGCCCCTGAGGCCCAGCGGTGTCTGCAAGGCTCCGCCCTCCTGTACCTGAACAGCCCTATCGGCAGGCCACAGGAGCACCCCCGCTGCACTCAGGAGCAGACCAGCTACTGCTCCCTTCTCTGCCCTACCCCGATGCCATGCACAACCGTCAGGACTCCTGGCACAGGCTGCCACCCACCCTGCCATCCCCACACCACCACACTCGGGCAGCCTCACCTGTCGGAGCCGGCCTCGCAAGAGGAAGCCGGGCAGGGCACCCAGGGCTGACGCGAAGCCACAGCGAACCATCTCCTCTGGGCTCTGGAGCTCAACAAGGTAGCGCGGGATGAGCACCTCTGCAGGGAGGAAGCCAGGGTGAGCAGAGGGACTACATCTCAGCATCGGACACACAGCAGTACAGCGCCCAGGGGAACAGGCAGTGCTCCCGGCTTCTGAAGCAGACGATGTACAAGAATTCTTACAAGGTTCTGCTAAGGTTTTCATAAGCAGTTTAGCCATTGTCTCCTTCTGGATGCTTACTGTGCTTCCTCACAAACAAAAGGCTCTTGGTGAGTAGAGTGGAGCAGCTTCAGGCAGACAAAGGACTTGGACAGGACACAGGCCTAGGCTGGGTGGGTACACACTCTACAGGACACCAGCTGCATGGGCCAGGAAGAGGGGCCGACAGCAGTGAGAGCCAGTGCCAGCGTGACACCTCGGCGAGGAACAGCCAGTGGGGAGCAACGAGAACAGGGGTCAGAAAGAGGACCGGGCACCGTGGGCATCAGGGCTCAGGGCCAGCAAGGGAGAACTCGGGAGAGGGAGCCATAGGCTCTTTCTGGAAGGCGCAGCTCAGAGGTACAGAGTGGCCAGGCCTGGATGCAGTGTGAGAGACCAGGAGACCCCTCGCCACCATTCTGCTGCAGAGGCAGCTCTATCCCCGCATGGACTCTCGGCGCACAAACGCTCTCTCTGATCACCACGTGGAACAGAGCCTCCCACCACCCCCCATTACTTGAGTTTCACAACCAACGGGGAATTTCAAAATATTATTTCTTTCATTTTCAGAAACAAGATGCAGTCCTTTCAGGAAAGATAAAACATATTATTCTACTCTTGTAAAAATAAACTAAATACAAAATAACATTATATAAAATTACCTGCTGAAAGCAAGTGTGAAATACATTAATGTATACTGTGTCAGAGATCAAATTAAAGACTAGATTTGTATTTTTGTAGGAGATTCACACTACTGCACTTGATTTCTTACATATTTATAATTTTAGTGTTCTGAATACTTTTGGTATGATTATAAGTCCTATAATGTAAGGAAAAGGAATACAATAGGCCAACAGAGCATGGGAATTGGTTTTTTAATCTAAAAAGCAGAACCCAGGAACTTGATCCTAACAAACAGTATCGATGGCATCCAGAAATCAACTCCACACCAGCACAGGTCAGCTCCAGGCTGTGCACAAGGACACCGACAGGCACACGCAGCCGCACACAGAGGCACAGAGGAAGCTCACACGGGACTGATCGTGCCTACACCCACACACGGGGAGGACAGAGCACACCGTCCGCCTACAACAGAGAGAACGCCTCTCTAATCTTCAGAGCAAAGAGCAATGTGCCCTGCAGGCTACGGCGGCTGACGCACACGCATTACTGTGACCAGGGCCCGCAGAGAGGTGTGCACTGCCACCACACTGCCAAGGGAATCAGGAGTGCGAGAGTCAGCACTGTGACCGGATGCAGGAGCTGAGAGCAGATACATCAAGAAGCCACCACAGGCAGAAGCACGGAGGAAACAAATGAAACAGGAAAGGAGGCTGAAATCATGAGAAAGAAAGGACATGGAAGACAGGGAAGGAGTTACAACAAAGACGTAAGTGGAATTTCCTAAGAAAACTGGAGAAAAGTTTACTTATAAAAGCAGTTTACAACAGTGCGGAAGAAATAAACGCACTGTGTGGTGGGACAGTACTGCTGCGTTCTGGACATCTGCCTGGCACCGTCACCCACGAGACACACCAACAAAGCCCCGGTTAGAGGCGAAGGAAATAGTGGGCAGCCAGCTCTCCAACAGCCCCACAGTGAGAGACCTCGGCAGGCTACCAGGCCCAGCAGGATCCACAAGAACCTCCAGTGTAGCCCGTCCTCCCAGTCCTCTGGACCCTTACTGCCCCAGATCTCACCCGCACAGCGCGGCTGGCGCTGTGCTCACTCACCCTGCACAGCAGGACTGGCCTCCCGGGGCTCCTTCTGGTAGTACTCATTGCAGAGGGCGGCCAGGGCCAGCACGGCTGAGTCCTGAAACAGGAGGATGTGAGTGTACACGGCTCTGCAGTGACATCAGAGAGACGATGAGTCCTGTCCAGGGTGTCTGCTCAGGTACATGGGCCACCGGTCTCCACAACAGCACACTGGAGAGCCTGGCTCTTCCTCCACCCTCTCATCTGGCATCCTCCTTGGCAAAAGTGGCCATGCAGAATGAACTCCATGGTGTGAGGCGGGAGGGCTCGATGTTGTGCCATGTGTGGCATGTTCAGAGGACAGTGGTGTCCAGCGGGTGTTAGGAACAGGAGCAAGTGCCGGGTGAGGACCAGGGAGAGCAGCGCAAGACCCTCAGAACCCAATCCTAAAGCACCAGGAGCCACAACAGGGCAGGTGATGCTGCACCGCAGGAGCTGGTAGTGGCGTCTCCTTGGACCCCACAGCGGCTCAACTTCAGCCTCCTGTGCCCAGAGCCACACAGTGAGACACGGGAAGGGTAAGTTCTTCCTCCTGCCCCTCAGGCCCAGGGACACCTCAGGCCTCCAGAGCAGCTATGAGGAGACAGGCGAGGAGGTGGGACCCTCATTCATGGAAGCACATCACAGAGATGTCACTTGTACGAACGGAGAAGCAGACAGCAACAAGGTCAGTGCTGATATGAATCCATCACAATTTTATAAAGAAAATGTGGAGGCATTGGTCATAAGGTACTTAGATCCAACCACCAGCAAGACAGTATTTTGATCCTATAGGATGATAAAGAGACTTAAGGAAAAAAACAATCTGGTTTTGGTTGTGCACACTCTGGAGGCATGAGGATCGCAATTTCAAGTCTAGCCTGGGCAACTTAGTGAGATTCTGTCTTAAAATAAAAAATAAAACATGGGCTGGGGTGCAATTCAGTGTGAAGGCCCTGGGTTCAGTCCCAAGTACAAAAAAAAAGAAAGAAAGAAATGAAACCAAAGAAGTGGAAGACACATCCCAGTGGCCCAGAGATGCTGGCCTGGGTGCAGGGACAGTGGGGCCATCCTCTCCCACACCAGGAACCTGGCTCAATGCCACAGGAGGGGCTGAGCTCACGGCTCCCCGACCCCAGGACGTGCACACACGCGAGGATCCTCAGCCAGGACTGCGGCGCTGGCGTCCGTTCGCACAGAAGCAGCACAGATGCATGCTCTGCTCCACACTGAACCCCCACGCCCCCTGGACTGGGATCCACCTGAGTAGACATCACCCTCGGCACAGAAGGAAGTGTTTTAGGCCAGGCACAATGCTAAAGCCAGAGACGACAGCAGCAGAAGGTACACAGTGTAGGCCCAGCAGCCACACTGTGTTTCCTGGTTTAAGTCATCTTGCAGGGGAGGGGGCATCGGCCGACTGTCCAGTTAGTGTTCAGGTGGGACACACACTGAGAGCCATGTCACTTCCTGCCCTGTGCAGCCCAGGGGTCACGCCCAGCACACCTTAACCTGCTGTCTGGACTGGCTTGAGACAAGATGCAGACTTCTCAGCGTGTCGTCTATCAGCCACTGCCAGGCATCTATGGAGGAAACAGAGACGCTGCTTACCCAACTCAGGATAACCAGCTGAAACCAGCAACAGCACTCACACGGCCAAGTCTTAAAGTAAGTAGTCAGCGGGCTCGAACACACCCTGCAGGCAGCCAGGGCACCACCTGGGACCAGGTCCCAGGGCCGAGGGAGGCTGCTGAGAGGCTGAGTGGTGCCGTGGCACCCCCAAAACCAAGGGTCTCAGCATCAGGCTCTGGGAACGTGTTGTTCTTTACCGCCGAAAGCTTCAACTGGTCTCTTCCTTTCAGCCTCCCTCAGTCTCCCCTGCCCCCACCAACAGGAACCCGAATATTCAACTCAACTATAGCCACAACTGAGCTGGCAATAAAAGGTGACTCCGTTTCAGTTAAACAAGACAGGCTAGGAGCAGAGGAGGGCAGGACCCTAAGGGGTGCCAGCTCTGGCATCTCGTCCAGGAGGGAGAGCTGAACACATAGGCCCAGCACGGGCAGCACAGCCACAGAGGGCCACCGCTGTGAGCGCGGGGAAAGCTTGGGGCTGGGGCTCCGGAGGGTAGCAGAGCCTACAGCAAGTCAAGACGAGGGGTTCCACACAGCGAGCCTTCCTGCCACAGCCTTTCAGCCACCTAACAAGCTCCTTTTTACTTTGGGACTTGAAGCAGCTGTGGGGAAAAATGCTACCATGGTGTCCTGGAGAAAAAAAGCACTTACCAATGACCGGGTCACCTTTAAAGGGCATTCTGGAGAGTGATAGGTTCTCTATCAGGACGCACACTAGGAAAAGGGAAAACACCACATTACTGTTCCAAAAGTACCTCTCCAGGCCTGAACCTCCCTCGTCAGTGGCCATGCAGCTGCACCAAGCTCCCACCCCTCCAGCTCACTGGCCAGCCCTCAGCTGGGCAGCTGCAGAACGTTCAGCAATGGCCGGACACAGATGCCGGGGCTCAAAGACAGACCACATGCCCCAGAGAGCCCAGCCTGTCGAGTGCTCTCCATGAACCACACTGCTGCCCTGGACCCAGCTTGGGCCCCAGGACATGTGCCTCTGAGGGCCACACAGGACAGACCTAGGAGAGGCCAGGCCATCAGCACAGTGACAGGAGCCATGGAAAACTGCCTGCGGCTAGACCATCTCCACAGATGGAGGACATGCTCTGCAACAGGCAGCCATCAGCGATCCACAGGGGGACAGGCTGCTGCTGGCCTCAGTTGCCTCTGCCTTGTGTGGGCCCACAGCCTACTCCCACGACCCAAAGGCTTCACAGTGGGCTCCCAGGACACCCCTCCAGACTGGCACCCTCAGGAGCACCAATGGGCTCGCATGTTCTCCTCAGCTGAGCCCACCCTGCCCTGCTCTCTGCACAGGCACCGGGGAGCATGACACACATGCCCTGCTGGGTCTGCTGTGCTCTGCACGGGGCCACTGCCTCCTGTCTTCTCTGTGATGGCAAGTGCCAGCCAGCCATAGCACAGGCCTACTGTTCAAGTTAGTCCTGGGAGCCCTGGTTCCACCTCCTGGGTGGCCGGCTTCCTACCCAGCACCGGGTCCTGCAGGATGATGGTGCCAGGCTCTGTCCGACCCATGCCTAGGCTTCACAGAACTCTACACTGCCACACAGACAACTTGAAACCCCCAGTAGTTATGCCAGGGATGCCAAAAAACACCAGGGGACACTCAGAAGGCCCATCTCCTTGGTGCTGCCTCCAAGCCATCACAACAGGTCATGGGGCAGCCTGGAGGGCACCTCTCAGCCAGGCTGAGAAAGAGGGGCTGAGAAGGGAAGGGACCATGAAGAGAGGCCAGGTTGGTCAGTATCGCCACAGAGCAGTTCCACTGATAGCAGAGCCCAAGGCCCAGGCAAGGTGGCACAGCTCTGAGCACCCAACAAGGGTCACGCCCAGCGCGCCCTGCTCATCCATCAACCAGAACTTTCTCACCACCCCCTGGCAGCTCAGGTGCACCTGTGCAGCCAGCCCTGATCAGCCACCTCGGGAGCATCCCCCCAGGAAGCCCCTGAGCTCCCAGTTTTCAACAGGCTTCAGGAAGTCTAGATGTCCACCTGTTGGTATCATGAGCTCGCTGCAGACAATGTAGAAATGTACTCTGGAAATCATTCTCTCTACTAGAGCTATTTTAATTTAAACACTGCATCAGAGAGGAAGAGGTAGAGCGTCTACAGAACTTGTCATCTCACAGTGAGATATGGGCACATGTGCTCACCACATTCAGAGCAGAGCCAACGCCCAGCTATTCCAGTGGGTCCAGACCTGGGAGCCGAGAACTCAGTCAGTCGCACACACAGCAGCAGCATGGAGAGCTGGCCAGGCAAGAGCGCGGGGCCTCAGCCTGGCCCCACAGATGGGCCTTGCCCAAAGCACTGCTGTGTTAGAGGAATGACATGAGAACCACGGGACGTCTCTCCTCCAGTGCTGGAATAAAGGGCCCTCTGACCTACCTGCTTGTCTCATGAGCTGTCCTCCAAGGCCCCTGAAAAATCAAAGAGAATGTTCAGGGTTAAAATCTCTCACTCCATGAAACCACAAAAAACATCAACACCAGGTAACTTCAGATGCCAAGAAACACCACAGCCCTGATGGCGAAGCTATGGCACACACGCTGTATTTTTTTTTTTAAGATAGAAGATGTTAATGTATGAGTTTAGAAATAGCACATGGAGCCGATCACCACAGGAGCAACATGTGTGAATCTCAAGACCACGGACTCCAGCTAAAACAGACTTGAAAGGCAGCACCCTGTGTGACCCCACCAGCGTGAAACATTAGACAAGGTCACACCACTTTAAGTAAAATAAACAGAGGACACAATGGCCAGGATGGCCCCAGGGTGAGCCCAGGACACAATTACGCTAAGCACAACCCAGCCCAGGGGCTTATGCCCATGGAAGAACTTCAGCTCATGGAGCTTACCTGTACAGGTGCCGGCCAGAAAGCTAGAAACAAAGAACGAAGTTAGTTATTATCCAGGTAGCTAGGGTTTTTAAAGTAATACAGTCTGTAGGTAACATCTGGGAGCATCAACAGAGACAGAGTAACAAGGCTGGGTGCCCAGGCCCAGGGAGTCCAGGACAGAGGCCCCTCTCTACCAGGCCCCTCATTAAGTTCTCCAGGTGAGTTATCTCAGAAGGGAAACTGAGGCACAGAGGGAGAGAAAGAGCCAGGACTGACTCTTCACCGTCTCCAAAGAGCCCCTCAGGCAGAACACCAATCGTGCCCAGAGGACTTTGGTGCTGCTCTCTCTCCAGGAGACCAAAGGCACTGCATAGTACTGTCACTGCCATTTCAGCTCAAACACACTGCCACCAACTCCACCAAACCCTTTAACCCGATTCTTTAATTCTCACAAAAATTGAAGGGAATGGTCCTGTGAACATCTTACTCCCAGAAGCAGGACACCCTTGCCACTAAGCAGCCCCACTTTCTCAGCTGTTGCATGGGGCTAACCCACACCCTGGGAACCTGACAGGAGTATGGGAACCCTCCACGCAAGACAAAGGCAGACTGGACAGTGGCTTTGCTATGGTCATAAAGCTAACGGCAGGAACAGGATGAGGATTGGAGGCCAAGTGGCCCTCACTATTCGGAGGCACAGTCTTAAGGAACAGAAAACATGCCTGGCATCATGGCACATGCCTGTAATGCCAGCACTGGGGAGGCTGAAACAGGGGGACCTCAAGTTCAAAGCCAGTCTGGAACATAGTGAGACACTGCCTCAAAAAAACAAAACAAATCGAGGCTAGAAGGCTCTTTTTGGAGTAAGAAACAGTGAAACTATTTCAGTCCTTAAGAATTATTTTGGGATTTTCCTCTTACTAGATCTGCAGTTCATATTTTACCTGGAGTCACTGAAGGTGTTGAGAATCTCAAACTCAGAAAAGCGCACACACCTTCTCCCCAAAGAAATATATACAATTCTGGATTTAGCTGAGGGCCTCAAGCTCCAGCTGTGGGTGCACTGGTGGAGAGCAAGGCCTCTGTGCTCAGGCACATTCCCAGGCCCTCGAAGGGGGAGGACTGGCCCCTGGAGTACAGTGCAGCTCTCCCGCAGCCCATGGGCTGTACCCCACCCTCGACATAGCAGCCCAGCCACATGGGGGAGAGGTCTGCACCTCCAAGCCCCCCACACTTCTGGCTGCAGAGTATGCCAAGGAAGAGGCCCGCCCCGCCGTCATGGCACTAGATCACTCCGTGCGCCCCGGGCTGAGTATGAACAGCAGCTCCTGGGTTGAAGGTGGACAGACCCTGTGGAAGGGCACACGTGGGAGGCCCACACACAAACCTGCTGGTGGATCTGCTTCAGGCTCTGCACCACCTTCTCGTCTAGGTAGTCTGTGACGGTCCTGCAGAGGGTCAACACAGCACTGAGGCCGCAGGCCCCGGCCCCAGCCCCCACCATGCACACCAAGGAGCAGAAAGACCCCACTGGCCCCAGGCTCCTGCATCGGCTCACAGCAGGTGGGCGGCAGGGCGCTTCTGACTGCAGCCTGGGTGCTAAGCACCACGAGGACCCTGCAAAAGGACTCGTCCACACGGGGTGGGGAAAGAGCCCACACATGGGGCTCCCTCACAAGTGGCTGCTGGCACACCTGCCTCCCTCCTGGAGGCTGCAACCTTCCTGTGCTACCACCCTGGGGAAAACCACAGCATCCCCGCGTCATCGCCAGGGAATGACATGTGCCTCTGTGACCAATCCCAAGACAACAAGACTCCGCCATGAGCCTCTTTCCACACCAGTGCCTACTTTATGCACAGCGCTGCAGCTGTGCACCATGCTCTGGGGCTGAGGGTGAGACAGGGTGACATGAAGGAGAGGCCAGGAGCCAGGTCACAGGCAGCAGTGTGTCCCTGAGGTCTCACTCTGAGAGAAGCCCATTGGAAAGAAAAGGAAGCAGCTCTTGGAACACCCAGTCCCACGGGGTCACCATGGCCTGGGGACTGCTTCACTGTCACCTGTACCACCACAGCCGCCCAGGAAGTCCCCAGCAAACTCTCCAACCTACATCCTCTAGGACCGCAGGTCGTTAAAGTGACACGTGAGTGAAGACGTGGAGACATGAGCCTCCTGGCCTCGTCGGGCTCATCACCTCCCACACAAGGGTGCTGCACAGTCCCACTGAGGGATGTGTGAGTGGTCCTGGCCCTGACAAAGCTCAGAGGAAAGTGTCGGGCCTAAAGACCACAATTCTTCTGTACCTGAGACCACCATAACCCCACGGCCTCCCACAGACACATGGGGCATCACTCCTACCTGCCCCTCTGTGCTGCCAGCTTGTACAGGGCGTAGGTGACCTCGGCACAGGCAAGAATGGCACCATGCCGTGTGTGCAGATCTGGACTCAGCGCCATCACCAGCAGGGTGGGGAGCACTGCAAGACACGAGTGCCGTCTCCTCAGACGCTCTCATTTGAGTCAGATCCACCGGACAGAACGGGTGCAGACTCTTCCCCAGTGCAAAGAAGCAAATGCAGATCGCACCACCAAAGTGGTCACCACACAAGGCAGACTGAATCTGAGGGCGAGCTGGACTCCAGACAGACACCAGCAGCCCAGCCAACTGGCCAGCTTGTCTGCTCGGAAACAGACGCAGCTCCTGCATCTGCACCCTGCAGCCTGTGCAGCACCTCTGAAACGCTCTCAGGGGGACACCCCATTACCCACACACCCTCCCCAACTAAGTCCAGCAAGAGAAACACGATGTCACCTTCAGCCCATGTCTCTCTGCAGTGTGTGTGTGTGTGTGTGTGTGTGTGTGTGCATGTGTGTGTGCTGTGGGAGGCTGCAGGCTGGTGGGGACACCTACCGTGTGTGGCAAAGTACTCAGGTGCTCGTGGGGCCAGCTTGTGCAGCGCCTTGGCTGAGAGTTCTCGGATACTCCTGGGCAGGAGAAGACACAGGTGAAAAGAGGCATCTGTGCACCCACACTCACAACAGCAGGAGGTGGGAGCTATGAGCATCCTAAGGACACGCGGATGAGCGAAATGCAGCAGACACATGAAAGGAATGTTCTTCAGCCTCCAAAAGGAAAACCAGCACCTGCCGCAGCTGGGCGACATCTGTAGCCATCTGGCCAAACCCCACGTGAGGCTGCCCTCCTAAAGGCCCTGAGTAAAAGACAGTTTTTCATTTTTAAAGGGAAGTGTGAAGAAAAAACAGTAAAATTCATGGGAAAGAAACCCGAGACATTGATCCTTTAAAGAAAACGCAGCCAGCCTGCACATATCAACTGCGCTTAACTCTGACACAAGATGTGGAAGAACATCCCTACTGATAGTCAATACATTAGGAAGACACAAAAATTATACAAGTACATGCATCTAATAAGAGAACCTCACCCAAAAGATAGGAAGGAAAACTGACAGAACTTAAACAAGAAACAGGTAAGACAGTTGGAGACTTTAGCAGCCCAGAAATTCAGCCTATGCAGAGGCTGCACGCATGTGACCGTGGCTGCTGCACTGTGTGGGAGAGAAACCGACAGGGTCACTGCCCCTAAAGTGCACTGGGTGCCCTGCTGCAGGCAGCCCCATGCAGAAGCTCCTTAGGGAAGCCCACACCCAGCCCGAATGACAGCAGACTGATGGCAGAAGCTCCCGTTCGGGAGGCCCTGTCCAGGCCGTGCAGGGTGGCTGTACCATGCAGTGGCCATCAGTGAGTATGTTCAAGGTTTTGGTCCTCAGAGAAGCTGGAACATTCCCCACGGTCCATGAGAGAAGACATCTTGACAAAGCTGTTCCTGTCCCGGGCCTTTGCTGTACCTCAGAGCTCCACCCAGATATTCCCCAGAGGAGCTGCTCTGCCAGCCCAGGGCACAGCAGCAGCACAACACTGCCTTGTGTGCTCTGAATTGCACACACAGCTTCCTTCTCTGAAGAGACACATTTAACTTCCTATAAAAATGCTAAGATGCCCCGAGCTGCTACTATAATTACAAAAGCAGCCAAAGAAGCCTGCTCTGCTCCACCGAGACCACACAGAAGCCAGGCAGCGAGTGGCAGGTGGAGCAGAATTGGGGCCGGGGGGCAGCTTTGGTCCCCAGGCCACGGCCTCCTCAGTCACACACTGACTCGGGGCCTTAGCAGGGGTATGTGGCCCTGCACATGCACTCAAGCAGTGCTGCCCAGGACAGCGGGACATTGACCACTAACCATCGGGCCAAGGGAGAGGTTGGGACACCGCTACTTCACGGGAGCTATTTCAGACTGATATCTACAATGAGAAAAGACACTTGCACCTCATCAGCTCGATTCCATCTCTCCTTCAGAAAACGGGGTTCTGAGGATCACAACCTACCCATCCCAGTGGCTGACTTTCTTGGCGATCAGGTGGTCAATCATCGGCTGGGTGTACTCGGGGAAGCCAGCAATGGACACGCTGAAAGAAACAAGACCGAGAGGCATGAGGATGCGGAGGTGCCGGCGCCTCACACACTGCACATGAGGGCACAGAACAGAGCAGAGGCCTGCAAAAAGCATTTGACTATTTCTTCTAAATTAAGACATTTCCCAGATGATCTGCCACTCCCTCCCTACAAAGGCACCAAGAATAAGGAAAAAGGTTGATCCACACTGACCGGACACAGGGCACAGACGTGGCACACAGGCACCGCAGAGGGGCCAGCCTCCACCACCGGACGGCTGCTCCCATGCAAGCCATCCCATGAGGCCACGACCCTCTGCAGCCAAAATCAAGTGTGCGCTATTCTATTTCCTTTCATACAAAAGCTCTAAAGGATACAAACTCTGCTGGCAGAAGCAGATCGGTGGGAACCCATGGGCAATAATGTGTTTACCGAGGTCACTGACCTGGGATAGACTTAGCAAGCCACATACTTTCTGTACAGCCATCGGGGTCAGTTATGCCTCAGTAAACTACTGAAGTATTAAGGAGGCAAGGCTTAGACTGGGAAGAAAGACACCTCGGAATACATAAAAATAACGACTTCTATATAAATATGCAAGATAAACCCAATGAAAACCTTGCCTGGGTTTTTACAGAAACATTACAAAAAAAGATAAACAGAAGGCCCATAGGCACAAGAAGATGTCCAGCCAGCCATTAGGAGGAGGGAGGGAGCTGCTGTGCCAGCCATGGCCAAAAGCTTGAGACAATGACAGCACCAGGGTCAGGAGCCCAGGCAGCAGCTGGGCAGTTTCTTACATAGTTAAATGTGCAGACCACTAACCAATCTAAGAGACGTGCAAACACATCCCCACATAAAGACTTCCAAATAAATTTTCACAAAAGGTAAAAATTCGGGAAAGCATCACTACTAACCAGCAGGTAAGCACACAGTCATAGCCAGCACACCCTGAAGCTACAAACAGGCCACTCAACAGCTCAGGTGAACTGGCAGCCACTGTGCGAGAGGAGGAAGCAGCCAGACCCCAGAGAAGCGTGTTCTCCCTGACGACCCTTCTCGGAGCCAATCAGCAGGCAGAGGGGCCACCCAGTGCTGGGCACAGCAAACTGCAAGGTGGTGGGAAACCCAGGACCCCAGGCAGGTGCAGGCCCCGGCTGCACACCCAGGCAGCACATGCTGAGCTACACAGCACAAACAGTGCCTGAAAATACTAGTCAGGGGCAACTCAGCGGTGGAGTGCCTGCCAAGCATACACAAGGCCCAGTGCCACAGGAACACAAAGTTGTATCTCTTGGAAATAATATAGGGAGCTTAAAAATTAACCTCCAAGTGGGTAGGCCTTCCAAATCATGACTGAAACCTAGAGCCATGAAGGACACTGACACTTGCAAACACAAACCCCCAACAAAAAGCATGTGTCAGGGAAAACACATCAAAAAAATCAAGTCAAGGCAAGTAACCCAGAAAAAGTATATGCAAAAGTCCCGCCCTGGATTCTTTAAAAGACACAGGTTCTTCAGAACCAACACAGATATCATGGTCTCAAGCAAAGTCCTCACAAGCACACACTTGGCCCCTGAAGATGCTCACAGCCACCTTTCTGCAGGAAGGGAAGGCACAGGGCTGCACAGCTGCTCTGCAGCCTGTCTTGGGGGTCTGCCACCACTGTCCAGGACTGGGAGGGCCCAGGAGCACTGCTGGACAGCCTCGTGGGCAGAGATCACATGAACTGGGAAGTTCAAAGCATAAACACCTCTGCCCAGAATTCCAATGGGTGATCCTTTCACACATGCAGAAACACACTGCGTACTGTCTAGAAAAGACAGGATGGAGCCCGCAGCCCTGAAGAGCTGCAGATCACCCTGCCTGATGTGGACAGGACAGGCTCCCAGAGGCAGGCAAAGAAAATATGCACCTCGACTTTTCCACTGAATGACTGCTGGTATCAGGAACTTCCCTCCAGACCAGACTGATACATACTGAGCCCATGCATGCCGATTATGACTCCACAACAGGGCACTGGGACAGGGGAGGAGACAGGGAGGAGACAGATGTAGCCTTTCCCAGCAAGCTGTCAGAGAATCCAAGTCACCAAAGAACCAGGCCTCACAACACCACACAGGCCATCTGCTCACCTGAGTGACGTGGAGAGTATGGTGAGGTACAAGACCCAGAAGAGCGGGCAGGTGACCAAAGCCAGAAAGCAGGAAGCAGATGGATACCAGGCCACTTAGCAGGAGGCAGGGGGCAAGCTGGCCATGTGGTAGAGACCCAGCGGCCTATGCCCCAGCCCTAGCTCCACCAGCAGCAGCACTGACTTAGGGAGGAACCCTGTTGCCAAACACAGGGTCCTAGAAGCCAACTGTGAACCAAGGAGTGCCCACTAGGGGGCACAAGGCCATGCAGGCCGAGAGGAGACTTGGAGACATGCTATGAGGGGTATGGGGAGACAGCATGATGTGGTCAGACGTCCCATAGGTCCTGGTGAGAGACCCAGCCCTCCCACAACAAAGCCAGAGCAGATGTGATCCTGCTGGCAGCTGTCACGCTTGGAGGCTGCCCTCTAAGCCAAGAGCTGTGGCACCCCTCCCCAGATCTGAGCTGCCGGCTGGCACTTCCAAGGAGTAGCCAAAGACCACTCCTGACCAGTGTGAGTGGGAACAGAGCCTAATGCTCAGGAGCCCCAGACCCCCAAACTGCAATGGGCCATGATCCACACAGCTGCCCCTCCTGGGGACCCCTCTAAAGCAACAGCAATCACATTGCAGCCACACCATTTTCATGGAAACAAGGAGCTGTCGATCAAGAAGCCACCTCTCCCACGCAGCAGCAGTCCTAGACACATGAAAAATGGATCTGTCCTGACAACCCTGCCCTCTCTGCCATTACTCCCGAGCTTTCAAATGGGGCTGAAAATGCAGTCCACACTGTCTCGGTATATACCGCACTCCCTCACACTCCTTGGGTCACGCCACCACCAACTGCAGCACACATGCCAGGATGCCACTCAGGTGGTCCTACTGCTTACCTGTAATTCTTAGGGAGAGTGGGCTGGGCGGGCTGCACTGAGGAGCTGGTGCCAGTAGGGGCCATCAGCCCCAAAGAGCTCTTGGAAAGGGGGTGCTGTGAAGAGCCAAGAGTGGCAGAGACCTGTGCCGACCGACCTGCAGAGGGGCCCCGGAGAGGCACCAGGAGCTTCCAGGAGAACTCCAAGAAGTTGCCAAACACACTATAAGCTTCAGCTGCTGAAGAGCTGACAGGGTGGCTAGGAGCCCTCAAGAGGTGTAACGCAGAGCTGAGGCATTGGCACTCCAAGCTCAGAGGTGTAACCCTGGGGACCAAGAGCCACTGATACTCAAAGCTGGGAACCACTAATATCAAGGGAGCTGCACTTTGCCAATCTGGCTTTTCATTTTGTTTTGGTTTGGCTTCTGCTTTTAATTTTGCTTTTTTCGAGACAGGGTCTTGCTACGGAGTCCAGGCTGGCCTCAATACAGTGATCCTCTTGCCTCAGCCTCTCAAGTGCTGGGATTTTAGGTATGCACCACCACACCTGGTACTTTGCCAACTTGTGAATTATATCCAAACTGAGCAAAAGAACTCTCAGCTAACTGGTGACACAGAACAGCAGGGCAGAGCATGAACACAGGACAGCTGTGGAGCAGGCAGCAAGCAGCTTCTGCAGGTGTCCAGGACAACAACAGCCGGAGGCCAGGGAGGCAAGAGGACCCACAACAAGACACACGTGAAACCTACTAGAACATCCAGGTTGCCCAACTAAATCACCCAGCAGTGTGGGAACAAGAGGAGCAAGACAGAGTGAACAGAGTGCAGGAGTCAGGGGACAGAGGAGATGCTCCACTTAGTGGTCACCTTGATCTGTGTGAAGTTCCTACAAAATAAACTTTTTTTTTGGTACCAGGATTGAACTCGGGTGCTTGAGCTTGCAAGGCAGGCGCCGGAACCACTGAGCTAAATCCCCGGTACCAAAATAAACAGTTTTAAAAATGGTGTTTGGTCCAACAGAAATCCAGAGGATCATCAATACCTACTTTGAGAACCTGTACTCTAATAAAATGGAAAACACAGAAGAAATGGACAGATTTCTAGATACTTACAAATTACCAATGTTGAACAAAGAAGATAAAAACATTTTAAACACCTCAATTACAATCAGTGAAACTGAAAATGTAATTAAAAGTTTACCAACAAAGAAAAGCCCAGGTCCTGATGGATTCACTGCTGAATTTTACAAGAAGAACTACTGCCACTACTCTTTAAACTTTTCAATGAAATTGAAAGGAAGCAATACTTCCAAATTCATTCCCGGAAACAAGTATCACTTTGATTCCCAAACCAGGGAAAGACCCAACTACAAAAGAGAACTACAGGCCAATCTCCTTAATGAATACAGATGCAAAAATCCTTAATAAGATACTAGCAAACAGAAAACAGAGGATTATCAAGAAGATCATACATCCTGACCAAGTTGGATTTATTCCAGGGATCCAAGGATGGTTCAACATAAGTAAGTCAATAAATATAATACACTATATTATCAGAGTCAAGGACAAAAACCATATGATCCTCTCGATAGACGTATAAAAAGCATTTGACAAAATTCAACATCCATTCATGATAAAAACCCTGCCAAAAATTGGAACAGATGGTCTATATCTCAACTTAATCAAGGCTATCTATGAAAAACCAACAGCCAACATCACATTAAATGGCCAAAAACTGAAACCCTTCACATTAAAATCAGGAACAAGACAAGGATGCCCACTATCATCACTCCTCTTCGATATAGTTCTGGAAACATTAGCCACAGCAATTAGACAAGAGGAAGAAATTAAAGCAATAAAGATAGGAAAGGAAGAAGTTAAACTGTCATTATTTGCTGATATGATACCCAAAAATTCCACCAAAAGACTTCTAGACTTAATTAACATTTTTAGCAGAGTAGCTGGATACAAGGTCAACACTCAAAAGTCAATAGCCTTCTTGTACACAAATAACAGACTCACTGAGAGAGAAATTAGGGAAACAATTCCTTTCACAATAACATCCCAAAAAACTAAGTACCTAGGAATCAATCTAATGAAAGAAGCAAAAGACCTCTACACTGAAAACTACAGCACTCTGAAAAAAAAGAGATCAAAGAGGATATAAGAAAATGGAAAGATATTCCCTGATTCTGGGTAGGAAGAATCAACATAGTGAAAATGGCCATGCTACCAAAACAGATATACAGATTCAATGCAATCCCAGTTGAAATTCCAACACTATATTTCACAGAACTAGAAAAAAGAATCCAAAAATTTATTTGGAACCAGAAGAGACCTAGAATAGCAAAAGCCATCCTAGGTAACAGAGACATAGCAGCAGGTATAAAAATTCCCAATTTGAAACTATACCACAAAGCCACTGTGATAAAAACAGCACGGTACTGGCAAAGAAACAGACCTGAGGATCAGTGGAAAAGACTGGAAGATACAAAAACAACTCCAGATGTACTCAGCTACCTCATCTCTGACAAAGGAGTCGATCATCCGCAATGGAGGCAAGATAATCTCTAAATAAATGGTATTGAGGGACCAGGGATTTAGCCCAGTGGTTCCACTGCCTTCCTCGCAAGCTCAAGGACCCAAGTTCAATCCCTGGTACCAATAAATAAATAAATAAATGGTGTTGGAAAAACTGGATTTCAACCTGCCAAAGATTAAAACTAGACCCTTATCTTTCACCATGCACTAAACTAAAATCCAAGTGGATTCAAGATCTAAATATTAAAACAGAAACATTAAACTTGCTGGAAGGTAAGTTAGGCAGAACTCCGGAAGACACTGGCATAAGAAAAGACTTCGTGAACAAATCCTCAGTAGCACGGGAACTAACAGAAAGAATCAACAACCGGGATCTCATCTTTTATTAAAAAGCTTCTGCACTTCAAAAGAAACCATCAACAGAACTAAAAGACAACCTACAATGTGGGAAAAAGGATTTTACCAGCTGCTCCTCAGACAAAGGACTATTATCTAGAATATATAAAGAACTCAAAACCATCAGCCCCCCCAAATATAAAGACCCAACTCAAAAATGGGCATCAGAAATGAATAGACATTTCTCAGACAAAGAAGTAAAAGCAGCAAGTAAATATATGAAAAAATGTTCCACATCACTGGTCATTCAAGAGATGCAGATGAAAACAACACTGAGATTCCACCTCACCCCACAAAGAATGGCTGCTATCAAGAAATCAACCAATAACAAATGATGGCACGGTTGTGGGGAGAAAGGAACTCTTCTCCATTGTTGGTGGGAGTGCAGACTGGTGCAACCACTATGGAAATCAATATGAAGATACCTCAAAGAACTGGGACTAAAGGGTCCATTTGATCCAGCCATCCCTCTGCTGGGTATCTTTCCAAAAGAACTAAAAGAATCATATCACAGTGATGTATGCACACCAATGTTTATATAGTGGCACAGTTTGTAATAGCTAAAACTTGGAAACAACCCATTTGCCCATCTGTTGGAAACTGGATAAAAAGATGTGGTTTTTCTATAAAATGAAATACTACTCAGCCATAAAGAATGAAAAATTAGAGTCCGTCATAGGAAAATGGACACATATTGAGGATATACTCTTAAGTGAAATAAGTAAGTCACACGTGTAAATACGAAAAACTATAATAGTACACAAGACCCTAATGGGATAATTAAGAGTGTGAAATAGGAAGAAAAGGGCTAAAGGTGTAGGGAAAGTGGGAAGGGTAGGGGAAAGGTAATAAGGGAAAAGAAAAAAATATGAGAAAATGGAAATAAAGGATTTGTAAATGGGGTGGGGAGGAGGGGATGAAGGGAGGACAGGGACAAGGGGAAAAAATGAGAACCAAGACCTGTCACGTAAAGGTACAAGATCCCAATGATGAATGTAACTGTACTGTATACCTAAAATGTGCCAATAAACGAGAATTAATTAATTAATTAATTTTTTAAAATGGTGTTCAAGGATGAAGATGTTGGAAATCAGTTAAGGAAATTTATAAGAGCAAGAAGAAAACCCACTGAAGTCCTATAATTGAAAGCAGCAAGACAGCCAGGTAAGTGGACACCTGCCTGGCACTGAGAGGTCACACAGGTGCCCATCGTCCCCAGCCACTGAAAGGACACATTATGGTTGTCCACATCAAGCTCTGCCCTCCATTGACCCAGCAGGATCCTCAGGGACTCAGTAACAACATGAACTGATACTGTGAGGCAAAGGGACAAAGCCAGACACAGCTCACTGCCACCCATTCACAGGAAGCCTAGACAACAGGGGAGGCAAGGCCACATCAGGCCACCCCTGCAGGAAGGACACTGTCCACATGGACCGTGTAGTGGCCACTGAACTGCAGAGTCAGCCATACCCACCTTGCACCAAATTACACACCCAAAGTTGGTGATTTTACTATATGCAAGCTACATGTAATAAAACTTACATAAAATTAAAACTTTTTTTAAAAAGGTTTCAATACAGGAGCACGTAGGACACTGAAAGGACACACCACAGACCAGAAGACACTGCCAAGCATCTGAGAGGAACTGTGTCCAGAAGACAGGAAGGTCCCCAAATGCTCAAGAAGAAAACCACCAGCCCAGTAAACCCATAGACAAGAGACTGCAAGATACCCATGCAAAGGACGAGCTGCTGCACACAGCCACAGCGTGGCGGACAGTACAGAGAGGCCTCACCATACACCGGGGAGGATGCAGGCCCCGGGCCAGGCACACCTCCATAAAGGAACACCTGCTGCGAGGGGAAAAGTGCACAGCACCAGCCCAGGGCACAGACCACACTCACACGGGGGCAGGGAGAAGGCAGAACAAGCACAGCAGATATGCAACTCTGTCTTCACAAACCTGTGCTCCCAGAGCCACCAAGAATGGCATGCACAGGCAGAGACAGCCCTCTGCTGCCCAGGCTGTGGAGACACATACAGGTCCTACACTCCCAGAGATTTATGAACACACACAAGCGAAACCTGCAGTCTCCCTTCACCACCAACACTTGGCGAAGGTGAGGGCAGTGACATGGTGGAGACTACTGCAGGGTCTCCACGCATCTTCCTGAGGGCCTTCAGGAGTCTGAATGCCCGGTTTCCGGAGGAACCCCCACTGCTCTGGCAGCCTGGCTCTGTGCCTCCAAAGGAGAGACAAAGCCCCGAACAGCATGGGCAGAGCAGCACCCACCAGGCACCACCCCTCAACCTGCTGCGCTGTTCAGCACAACACCCTGACAACCCCCTGCCTAATGGGCCTAGGACCCCATACTCCTCCCTCTCCAGTCTCTAGAGAACGACCTTGGCCCCGACTGCACAGAGACCATGGGACAGCTCAGGCCCCTCTCTCGAGGCCCCTCCACCTGGGTGTGGCCCCACAATGCCTTCCTCAGCTGGTACCCTCCTGTCACCCTCACCCGGGTTCAGGCACACAGTAGGACCGCAGGGGGACGGGTCCTAGTCAAGAAACCCACGGGAGGGCTGGCAATCTAGTTCAATGGTACAGTATCTGCCTTATAAGCATAAGGTCCTGAGTTCAATCCCCAGTTCCAAAAAGAAAAAGAAACCCATGGGAGACCACATAGGCCTGCGCCTCACAAGGGTGCAAAACACACTGGGAAAGAACAACCAGAAGCAGGCCACCACTCTGGAGCATCTCCATAGAACACAAAACTACTGCTGCACCAAGCAGCTCAGGAAACGGTGTGGCCTCTCCATGCACAGCAGACTTGCAGCAGCAGAGAAAACAGAAGGAATAAGAAAGAACTGGTGTAGGACAGGACACAAACACTTCAGGGGACAAGCAGGGGGATCTGGCCAGAGTCCTGAGAAAGGACCAGTCACTGCATTGTTTTAAAAACCTGTCAAGGCTGATTGTACAGAAATGTCATTTCTGCATGGTCTGCACAACGGGGCAGTCTGTCCTCAGGGTATTAAACAGTCAGGAATTTTTAAAAATGCAATAATCTGAGGCAAAGGAATCACTTTACAACATCAGATTCTTTTCCTTTTCTGGCATGAGTACTGCAATGGGTTCATAAGGCCAGAGAAGTAGTTTTCCCAGTAGGTTACATAAGTAAAAACATTTGAGGTAGTTTCTGCAAACTGCAGTTTGGGATGTTCAATAATTATGCTTCGGCCCAATTTTCTCAAGTACCTCCCTTACTCATCTGATAAAATGTGGCAATAACTTCAACTCTGAAACACATTTTTACTGACCAGAGAGAGAGACACCGTCACATCTCATTACATTTCTACTGGAGAACCTGGTCAGAAGCCATCTGTGCTGAGGGGAAAGGCTCTGCTCTCACACCACACCATACCCACACCCACACCCACTCGAGGACCAGAGATGCCACAGGGGCACAGCTCCCACCCGTACTCTGCTAAGTGCTCCGACTCGACTCAGCCTTCAACTCTCCACACACAAATTACATTTATACGCAGTCCACAATGAAGAGGGAAAGTGGCAAAACTAAATTCTGACGTCTGCAGTCAGAGAATACTGTGCTTTTAGGATACACATTAAAGACTCACCTGATAACCAGGAAACAGTTAGCTGTGTTGCCAACTGCAAAATAGTCTGCTGTGGTCACAATATCAATTCCATGAGGGAAAGTACCCTGATGAAAAGGTGAAATTGGAAGACAAAAGAAGAGGTGAGAAATACTGTGACTGATAAAAGCATCCTGAAAAGCCAGGGATCGCACACACATTTCCACACTGAGGCCATGTGCGGACAGCACATGGGGGCTGCAGGTCATTGCCGGGCCAGACACCATGCTCATGTTATCTAAGCCACTCCACACAAATTACATTTCAAATGACTTTAAGATGTCAACTTCAAAATGTTATGAAAGCTTTTTCTTTTGGAAAGACATCAGGTTCAGCAGTGCAGGTATGACTGGCTACAGTTTGCACGTGACCCTCGTGCTGGGCTGACCCAGCTCAGGCTGGCCATGGCAGGCACCTGCAGAAGGCAGTGCCTCCTGGCCAGGAAACCGGACCAGAGCCCAGCCTCATCCTGCCAAGAACAGCAAGGGAGAGACAGGAGCAGCCACGCCAGCCAGCACCAGCCGAGGTGGGCATGTGTAGGGGGCAGGGCAGGGGTGGGGATCAAGGACAATGAGCCATCAGCCTGGCACTGCCATACTGCCAGCAGGACCCAAGTCTGACACCACTGCCTGGCAGAAATACTTGAGAATCTAGAAATGATATAAAACTTTTAAAGGAAACACTAACATAGAAAGCCATGTCCCAACATAGAAAGCCTCTAGCTATCAACCCCAGGACAGAAGAGCTCAGAGAATGGCTGGCTTGGCCAAAGTGGGCCATTCACAGAGCCTCTGGACCCAGGGTGACAGCAAAGCCCTTGTCCCAGAGCCTCACTAGCCACTGCCCACTCTGGGTGGGGCAGGTGGGCAGGATGGAGCTTGCCTTGTCATCAGTACCCACATCTCCAGTGGACCTAGACGGAGAAGGTGGCCAATGCCCCAGGGTGGCCCTGTCACTCTCCAGTTGCCTCAGTGACCTCTGCCACACACAGGTTTCAGACAGTGGTGCCAGATCCAAGCATCTCACAGGCGGACCCCAAGTGCTGTGTGGCAAGTGCCTGCCCTTCCTCTCAGCTGCTCAACCCACAGAGGACATGGCCTTCGTGACTTGCAGTTCTGTCCACCCTTTCAGGTGACTCTTGTGTCTTCGTGTACAGCACTGTGGCCTTGACAATCCATGCTGAGATGAACAGCTTGCCCAGAAGGCAGCTGGGGCTATGGGAGGAGGCACATGCCCCAGTCTGCTCCACAGTGCCCTGCAAGTGCAGACCCCAGTTGTCCACGTTCACAGCAGAATGAAGCACAAGAGGCCTAACTTGCCACCCCAGCAAGTCCCCCAGTCAGGGGTCGCCTGGTGCCCCCAGAGGTCAAAGATGAAGCTTCCCCCTGTAGCACTGACCAGGATACACCAGGTGGGGCCCTGTATCTCCTTCAAGTCCTGGGAGTGACAGAGCGCTTCCCCCTCTCCTCACCCATCCTGCAGGGTCTCCCTGACCTGAGAGCTGAAAGAGGAGCAGGATACAGAAAGATACCACAGCAAAGCCAGGTGCCACGGTCCCTGCAGAACCTGAGGTCTGGCCGTGCAGGGAGGCTGAATGTCCGGCCTGGTCTTCAGAGGGACCCTGGGGAATTCGTGTGCATCCCTCTTGCTATGATACTCAAGTCCAATCAAAAAGATGGCTGAACTCTTCCTGGCAGGAGTCAGTGGGCCAGGCCTCCAGGAGGAAGTCTGTTCTTGGCCCACAACCCACCACACCCCAAACTCCAGGCCATTCTGCCACCTACTCAGTCTAAGAACCACTGGTTTTAGGTGCCATCCCCAGGAAAAGATGCCAACATCAAAGGCCACGGAAGACTGAGGTACAACCAGTGCCACCCTGGGGCCAGCTGTCCTACTTATCCAGCTGTGGCATCTGGACCTGACAAGTCAGCAGCATCTCCCTGGTAGGAAGAGTAGCCACTGCCTGTGCACCCAGCCAAACACCCCAACAAGGGATCTCAGCAACCCTTCCCTGCTTCCACACCCAGCGATGAACACCTGGGCCCTGGCTGTAATCCGAGGCTGCCCTCTCAGGCCATGTGTGCCAAGCGGGGCCACTGTCTCCACACCTGCTGCTGTTTCTGGCACCTATGCCTGCCCTGAGGCCACTGTGACCCACTTCCTCCTGAGGTGCCAGCGTCAGCCCAGGGGTACCTCAGGCTGCTATCTTCCCCGGGACATCCACCCATTCCCTGCCTGCCCAGAACTCATGTTCTCAGCCTAGGCCTCCTCTCCGTCCTGTACACACCCAGACTCTGCCTCTCCACTTTCCAGACGTAGGGCAGCATCTCGAGCCCCTGGCAACATCGCTACTGTGAGACCGTAAAACTGGATACACCTGTCACCCTGTCCGACCTCCTTACAGTTCCTTGTGGGGACTCTACTCCCCACCTAGGTCTATCCCTGCACTGCAGCACAACCCTGGACCTGGCCCATCCAGCCTGTGCTCTGTTCTCAGGCCAGGCCGCACCACACACCCCACGTGTCAGTGTCTCACCACATGGAGGCCTGCATCCACTTCCTGGGTGCGGTGGTGCCAAGGTCAGAGGGCACAACTATGATGCCAGCGGGCATGAAAGGGTCATGAGACACAGGCTCTGGGAAGGCAAGGCCAGGGCTGATACCATGTGGGCTGGGAAGGGGCCAGGCCTCCTCTGCCACACTTGGGCACCTACCATGTGGCAGCCTCAGCGATTGGTAAGGAAACTCCTGACTGGCATGAAGTACCCACCTGTGGAGGTCAGTGTCCAGGGCCCTCCCGTGGGCTCTGGGGCCCTTGGCTACCCCTGAGGTGAATTCTTTACCATGTCCAATAGTGTAAAACACCAAGTTCACAGCTTTCACGATCCCACCTCCAAAGCTACAGAAGTTTCAGGAAGCAAGGTTTACAAAGCAGCCATACCTGTCTCCCCACATTCTCCTGGAAGGCAGCCTGAGGAAAGAAAGAACAAAGAGAGCAGGTGAGTGAGGTTTGCTTCTGTGAACACAGAGACAGATTCAAAACAAACAAAGAGCAGTGCAGATGACCCATGGCTTCACTTTCTACATAAGAGTCTTCATTGTTGGCTGCAGCAGCCCCAAGGTTCTTTGTCACTGTTTTGCATCCTGGTGTCCTTTACCACCCCAATTTAAGAATCCAATTTACAAAATCAGAAATCCTGAAAAGTTGCCTTTCACCGAGAACGTAGCTTTCACCCTAGAGACCAACACAGAAAGAGCCAAGAGGCAGGCAAAATAAAAGCAAACAGTGCAAACATTCTTCCTTTCTAGGGGATTTTACAGCCACCAACCACCAATGTCTACTGACACCTTGTGGCTACCTGCCAAGGGTACCCACCTCAGTCCCCAAAGGTTCTCCCAAAAGTGCTCCAGGAGCCCAAGTTGTACATACTGGGTACCAGGCAGGGATTTAAAAAGTCTCATCTGGTAGGCATGGAGGTGCACACCTATAATCCCAGGGCTCTGGAAGACTGAGACAAGAGGACTGAAAATCTGAGCCCAACGTGGGCAACTTATAGAGAACTTGTCTAAATTTTAAAATTTTAGGGTGGGGGGATTTAGCTCAGTGGATCTACCGCCTGCCTTGCAAGTGCAAGGACCTGAGTTTGATCCCCAGTACCAAAAAATAAATAAAAATAAAAATTTTAAGAAGCAGCTAGGGATGTGTGTCAGTATTAAAGGCCTTAAGACTCAATCCCAACACCACAAAAAAGTAAAATAAAAAATAAAGTCTGGCCTTAAACAAAGCTAAAAGCTAAATGCTTCAGGGTAAATCCCTGTCACCTTGTGGGTGGCTCCCCCCTCTTCCACCCTGACCCACACAGGTGAGCATGACAGGAGCTGGCCAGGTGACAGCAACACCTCACTTCTTGTCTGTCCATGGGTCTGACTCCCCCTCACAGACCCAGAGCTGAGTCCTCCAGCCTGCACTGGGGACAGGTGCAGACACAGGGACTCACACGGAGCTAAGCAGAGCTGCACATGCCTCCAAAAGGTGCAAGAACAGCACACAGGGGCCCAGGGCCAAACTCAGGGCACGGGGGTGGGAGGGGGCACGACCACCCCTGCCTGGGCAGCCACTCCAGCACAGGCAGACTTCCTGAGCACTTGAGGACATGTAGAATGTCAAGAAGCCAAAGCCTACAGCCCCACACAATCAGAAAGTACCCATAGTGCTTGAGGGAGGCTGTCCCCAGAGCGGGGCTAAGGCTGGGATACAAACGCGAGGAGACACCACACAGATGGCTCGTCATACCTTCTAAACTGGGCAGAGACTTGATATTTGCAATTACCATTTTATAAATTTTATAATAAACACATTAAAGAAAAAAAATAACCAAAACATTTTGCAAAACAGAAAGTCAAACACATTTACTATTCTGGTAGCATCATCTGAAAAATAAAAACTAATAGGAGGGCTGAGGATTTAGCTCAGTGCTCCACTGCCTGCCTCGCAAGTGCAAGGACCTGAGTTTGATCCCCGGTACCAAAAAAAAAAAAAAAA